AGACATTAGAATTAAGTCTTGTCATTATTCTCGTCATTTTCTGTCTTTACTGTCATAAATGTCATGTATAACACTTGTATGTTGATCTGACAATACAAGATTTAATTTAAAAAAAAAAAGTTCCGTAGCATAGAGTAAATATTATATTTACGCTATGCCCGTAGCCAGGGGGTGACCTAAGTGGGACTAAGCCGCACATAGAGCGTGGTCTTGCCCCCACTGGAAATTATGGTTGATGGCTTATTTACAAAAAAATTACAGTCTTTATCAAAAACTCACCCAAAACTCCCTCACCTGAGACGCAAACGATAACCAAAGGCTATTCAGCATCCTCACAGATACTATCCCGGTACAAACCGCTGCATCATTAAGGACACTACCGCATCCCAGCGTCTTTCCGCATTCGCCCCGAAGGAAAACCAGGCGTCGCACCGTCTCCTTTTTCATCAAACCACCCACTTCACGCTACACAAGAGGAACCAGCCAATATCTTTCCCCGCACCTAAATGGATTACTTCACTGCAAGGGGAGCACCCATACCGCCGCAGTTTATGCATAACATAAAGCCATGCCATCCGATTTCCACCATATACTGTCTAAACACAGTGAAACAAGGGCTAACCGAACTAGAACGAATATTGTCAAAAACTTGCGTGAAATTACACTGACACATTTAATTTTACACACACAAGATAATAAAAAGAAAAACAGCCATCATTGACCTGTTAAAATGGACATGGGTCTTCAGAACAACATTACAATTATCTACCAACTAATACTTAAAATTACTTACAGTTTTCTTTTACGAGCCAAATACCAAAATAATGTTCGCGCACCTAGATAACTAATTAAACTAGCTGAAACCACAAACATTTAATGAACCATCGCAGGCAACAAACTTGGCCCTATTGCTTCCTTTCTCCGATGCAAACTATTTCAGCTTTTCTTAATTACATAAAACGTATTCGGCCTCGAACTAAGCAACCTGACCCCTTCTCCTCTTCTAAATAACGCTTTTGAACTAGATGAGAGGCTTATACAACCGAACTGTAGCATGGGCTCGGACTTGAACGCAAAAAAAAGAACTTTTTCCAAACGAACCGCAGTTTGGTCTTCGATTAACAAACAAAAAGTTTCTTTAAACGGGCAGCACTCCGGCCTCCAACTTGGCCACGTTGTCTCAAACAATTACCTTTACCTGTCTTAAATAAACGGAAAGCTTAATAAATCACATCGAAACTGTCACATTTGCGTTAATGCCCACCTTGATAACCAGTAAAATTGAGATACAACATTTTTTTAATCTAACAATTCCAGAAGAAGAAACCCACGACGTTAAACAGAGAAAACAAAAATTTTGATGAATATTCATTAGACAATAATTAAGCACCCGAATTTATTCCAAATGTCTTACTACAAAATACAACGTCCTGACTGACATTGTTTACACATCAGATTGTTAAATTGTTTGTCAAAAAATGCACAACATCTACATATGCTTTTACTTTTTTAAACTACTGGAAACGAGTGCAACATGAGTACTCAACTTATAAGTATGTAATAAAATACTTCAATGAGGAACGTGACCGCATAGTTTATTTTTCTTTACCCATTCAGCGTAGAATTGTAGAGCAACCATAACATAAGTTACAATTGTTGCCGAAATCTGAAAATCTTATTCTCAAACTGGATACCTGACACCGAATGCTCACCGAAGCTAGCAACCTTGTATCGACTACAAAAATATCAGACGCCCTTAGTATCGGCTTATTTATGTTCAACGTTTTGATTAGCATTTCGACCTAAAATTCAAAAGAAACCTTCAGTTTCACTTTCATTTACGTATTTACTTGAACGGCCTCCTCTCTCATAAGTTTACTGATGGGGTATCTATAGAGATAAGATAGCATGTCTTCTGACTGAAAAAAGGAGGAGTTTGCTCTTCATTTTGCATATCGGCGAAACTCACCTCAACATTTATTTTGCCCGAAACCACTAGGTAGACTATAATACCTGACGTCGTAACGTATACTCGCAAACTCAAGAGCGCATCAGAATTACCATACCCGATATAAGTCAAAATGACTAAGTAGCTGCCAAGAATTAGAATCGCGACCATCATTATCCACCACAGTACAAATGAAGGGTTAACGAAGTTATTGAACTGTTTGTAGTTATACATCAAGCTCACATACAAGCGATTTAGTCTCTTGATATTCACTGGAAATGGTAGCTCTACCAGTTGGCAATTTCGAAGCGTACACCGTTCGCGATCTGCCATTACTTTTTTAATCTTTTTAAAGCAAATACGAAGAAGAATTCGATAGAGCTCCGTCGTGAACATGCACTGGAATACCATGGCGCTCTGTATCATGTTGCTCAAAAAACACAGCAAAATGTACACCATTATCATACTGGCATCTCCATACTTATCGCCTTGCCATACGATCGTCAAAATGCAAATTACCTGAAGTGCCGTTATTGTTGCAATAAGGACGTAGCACTTAAAAAGGTACGACTTCGTTACCCTTTCGTCGACCATAACAAAGAAGCTGTAATACTGGCGCGTTTCCAGGATGGAGGAAAGCCCATTTAATTCCACTAGCTTATCGTGATGTTTGACCAAACCGAAAAACGAACAGTTAATACCTTGCGCTTGAAACAAAATTTCTATAATTTTAATAATCTTCTCGGTGTTATCGTTCGTCTTTGATAAACACAAGTCAATTAGGTTGAGTAGCGTCCCCGTCACGAATAGTAGAGTTATCGTCAACGAAAATATAAGTAAATAGCGCGACTTTTGGAATTTCGCGATCGCGACCCCCCCGTTTGCAGTATGCGGACAGGTAATTTTAATCTGATTAAATCCACTTACGCATCCCAATTGCAAGATCGGAGACAGAAGACACGCAACGCAATCGGTAATTACCTTTTTTACTCGAAGTTTTGCCATTGCTGAATCTACTATTTGGCTGTTTACGTGCAAGTGATGCGACGAAATCATATTGATCATTTGAAATGGAAATGAAGTGTACTTAATTGAAGTTAATATCATCATTTATTCAGATTAAATCAATAAGATGGTGCGATATTCCAAATGGAGTGTTTTCAAAATGAAGACGCGTGCATGAATATCCACCTCGATCATGGCGACATTATTTATTATTTATTCTTTATTTTTTTCCATATTATTACTATGATTATTTATTTATTGTAAGAGGATTACGTTTTTTGTATTTATTTTAAAATGAATTTTTACGTATCGGAAATCTTCAGCACCAGACCTCCGGTAGAAAGTCTTCCCGGTTGACAAAAAAAATGAGGGAAGATATTATTATCGGGAAAGACCTCCGAACAAAAATTCCAGTATATGAGAGCTCCGCATTAGTAACACATCGTGAAACGCTTTTTAAAATTCTATATGTACCTACCGCTTCATACGGATAGGCTTAAAGGTGCGATAGTGTTTATCAGCGTGTCGTAATAGTTGTGTCGGGTTACCTTTTTCCGAAACGAAAATGCAGAGTAGACAAGAAAGCAAGTTATGGGATTGGCTGTAAAAAGGACGCGGTCCCGAGATTTGCGTTGGGTCCGTTCCGGCTTTTCTACTCAGCATTTGTAAGTAGCAAAGGAAGAACAGAAAGAAGATAGATATAGAGGCAGGCAGTCGCCATATAGTGTAAGTTCATTAAAATGTTAAATGTGAATAATTTCCATTCGATTGCGCCTCGGTAGCTGTAAACAACCCTGTGATTAAATAAATGTTTTATTGTCCCTCCTTTTAGTCCTATCTAAATAAGAGACATTAATCCCGTTCTCAAAAGCAAAAAATGCAACAATCGGACCGTAAAGCAAATTTATCTACATATTTGGGACCATTGTCCTTTTCGGTAAGCTTCATATACCACGAAAATGAGCCTGAACCTAGGGGACTTCTAAATCAGGACAACTTTTATGGAGATCGATGCGCAGATAAGTAATTAAAAAACGGAGACCAATTTAGTTGTGAAAGTGATACCCATACACATTTATGTCCATAGAAATAATGAAAAGGGGGTTAGTATCTTAATGAGGCCGCTATACTACTGCTACTGAATACCATGATTTTGGCGTGTCATGTGAATTCGTGATGCGCATATAATACGGCGGGTACCTACGTTCTGGTGTAATTCCACCATCCAGTATCAAATTGGTCCGTTCAGATACAGATGGTCATTTAGTACACTGTACCTATTCCTCTCTTGCAATCTTCTAGAGGGGCTTCTTGCTGGTATGGCTCTCAGACCGGCATTGTAAGCATTTTGGTCAGTTAATTCGTTTGTCCCGTTCCGACAGAATTGTTACGTTCACAACCGAAATGGCCGCTGCACTGTAATCCGGAATGAATATCCGTTTTACACCGCTACGGACGTTTTTGGTCGGTTTGATTAATGAAAGTGAAAAAAACCAGTTACAATGTTTACCCTTAGAATTCGTTTAGACTTTCAAGCGATCTGATAATAACTCGTTTTGCTCCAGGGGAAAGCTAGTTTGAATGCAGTCGATATAAATGAAAAGTTTATTGACCAATGATTTCTATACAACAAAAGGTAATCGTATGAGGAGAAGTCAAGAAAAGTTTAACTGTATTTCCCAAGGAGATCCAACTTTCCATTTCTACAGTGTGTCCACGGATTGAGTACACATAAGGTGTATATAACAAATTTTTTAGAGTTGGATCTTCATGTTCTTCGGATCGCTCCCGATTAATCTCAAACTAAGATATTAAAAAAATTAGCCAAATAAATGAAAATACAGGGTGTTTTTTGCCGAATTCTAAAAATAAGTAAAAGTAAACTGTCTTTATTTTAGCAAATATAACAAAATTATATTTAAAAAAAGTTGTTTGGAATTAAAAGTTATGGAAGACATTTAATTTTCATACAAATCAGCCTACTTTGGTTTGTCAACATGAGACAATTTTAAAATCAGTAAATCTGTCAAATGACAATCACGTCGTAGACATATAAGCTTGACAGATATGGCCGACTTTCAATTTTTATGCATACCAGCCTGCTTTGATTTTTGTTAAAAGCATTAGTTCAAAAGTATTGGATACTGATGAAAAAATCAAGGCCGGCAATCGTATTGGTACCATAGAGAAAGCATTGATTTCCAAAACAGTAAGTAAGGTAACGTAACTTTTTTGATTTGTATAAATAATAATGATAGGTTTTCTTCAAAAATTTACATTACATTTTTATTAAAAGTAGTGACTGAATTCTTTAAGTTGTTGATCTTGGTAAACTGGGCCAAAACGCGTAAATCCGAGCGTAAGTTTATATTGCATTGACTCAGATTCCTTTTATTAATTAAGAATTTCATTATTACAAGTTCTCCAATTACATCATAAATTTATGAAGTAAGTGCATTTGTAACATTGATCTCAATGTAAATCAGTTTGTCCATCACAATTAGAATAACGGTAAAACGTAATTTATGAAATTTATGTTAAGTATCGTCTACAAACATTCACAATATTGGAGTTACTTTCGCGTTCTGCTGCCAGCAGAGCATTCATTAAATTTAAAACGTCTATGGTCCTCTGTCCATTTATCCACACTTTCCCATTCATACCGACCGCAATTTCGAAAACGTACTTCTGCCCTAAGGCCCTTAATAATAGACTGTTAACGTCCAATATCCGATTAACGAAATTTAAACTGACATTCATAACAAAACCGTCGTTAGATAAAGGTCCTAATTTTCCCGCTTTATAATAAGAGTCGACGCACACCAACTCGGGCTCCATTTCTCGATGTGCACTTAACAGTTTCGCGTATACGACATCCCCGACCTGCAGATCGGGCTTCTGTTTCTTCGTCGCTCCTTCGAAGGACAGTAACGAGAGCGATGCCACTTCGCTGCTTCCAATATCGACCTTGCACACGTTTCCGCTTTTCTTAATAATTCCGACAACCAGATCGCCCTTTTTTGGATAGTAACGCTTAAAGTGACCTTCTACCCAGTAAACGTTGGGAGGTTTAAAGCAAAGCTTTCCGGCTCGGGTGACTAACAGACAGTTTGGCTCTTCGTGAGAATGTAACCCCGGTCCTCTTAATATTACACCATTTACGACTTTTAAATCTCTAACTACGTCGCCGGGAAAGACAAATTCTCCGATATTTTCGGGCATGTTTACGTTTCGCAAGATATCCAGTAAACATAACCTAGCATTTTATTTTTCCCATTCTTGGATCATGCATGGATGTGTCTCTTTTGCGTTTGTATACACCATCATTATACAGGGTCGCTATTAAAGATAGAGCCAAAGTTCTCACGTTCAAACCGTTTCATATTAGCATTGATTATATACACTATCTATATAATCAATGATATTAATAAAGACCGATTTATAAACTTCACGTTCGCGTCGGCGTTCGCTGTTCGCGTCCGTCGTTGCAGAGCTTATTTCGGTTAAGGTATTTTTAGTTTAGAGTTTGTTTATGAAAAGGACAAAAATTATTTCTGTGAAAGATTTATGATGAATGAGCATATATAAAAGACTTATAAAGGACATTAATACACTTCACACGCCAAAACGGATCGCAACTTTGATAGTTTGACTTTGACACTAATTTGGGCGCCAAATGGGTACTCTTTTTCCATTGGTCAAGGTGAACTACGAACTGTCAGCACGAACGCGGGCGGCAAAGTTTATAATAAAATCAATGCCCTTGGAACAATCAGTTTGGTAGAATCCGACCTAAAAGCGTCGATTAGGTTAATTGCGGTTTTTTAGACACTATTTGATGAAGCCTAACCTCAGAATTTCGACTGATTCACTTTAATCGTCTACACTGTGATAACATGAATTGATAAATCCGTATTAATTAAACACCACATAGAAATAAATTACTAACTATCAAAATGGGTATAATATTTGGTAAAAGAAAGCACGCCTCACGAGTTACAGAGCAAGATAAAGCGGTCCTGGTAAATTAGTTTCCCCTGATCTCCATAGCAATAAATTTGGTCATTTACAGCAATTAAAACAACAACGAGATAAACTGAAACAGTACCAAAAGAAAATAGAATTAGCTCTAGCCAAAGATAGGGAATTAGCGAAACAATTACTGACAGAAGGGAAAAAAGAGTCTGTATTTTGTCTTTGTGTGATATGTACGTATGTTGCATGTTTTCATTTTTTAGCCGTGCTAAACTATTGTTACGTAAGAAAAGATATCAAGAGCAGCTGCTGGAGCGTACGGACGGGCAGCTGGAAAATTTGGAACGTATGACGCACGATTTAGAATTTGCGCAAGTGGAGGTACAAGTCATTAATGGTCTCAAGCAGGGCAACGAGGCTCTAAAGAAGGTCAACGACTTACTTAAGCTAGAAGATGTTGAGAGGATTTTGGAGGAGACACGGGAGGGGGTCGAAAAGCAGGAGGAGATTAACGCCCTACTTAGCGGCGGACTAACCGAGGAAGATGAGGAGGCTGTCGAAGCGGAACTGCACGATATAATAGAGCACTCGCTTCCAAATGTTCCTGAAGGTTTGCTGCCAGTACGTGAAAGTGAGAGTGAAGAAGAAAGTTTACCGGACGTTCCGACCACTCCAGTTAAAGGTGAGCGGTTCGATGGTTTTGTTGTGGCTGAATTTATTTTTGCAGAAAAAATGAAAAGCAAAGTTAGGGAGCGTGTTGCATTGGAGGCCTAAAGTACTGTCACTTTTACTGCAATAATACAAGTGTTATTATATTTATAGCTGTATATACATATTACTTAATATAAGAACTATTTTGTAACTATCCGTATAAAATTACATGTGATGGATAATGCTTTTTCAAACGTAAATAAAACTTGTACTTTAAAATTTCGAGAGTATATGTTAGGTTTAACTTATGAACACATTTTTATGATGGGGTCACAATTACAATGTGAATGTCCAATGAAAGGTCATTGTTTGAGGGATTAAATATTGTGTAAACAACGTCCTGTAGTCCAAACACCGAAAATATTGATGACATCCTGTATATGGGAAATATTTCAATTTTAAGTGCAAATCCAATGGGTTATTTTTGTCTTATTTGAATTTGTATTTCAGTATTAGTTTCTCCTCTTAGAAATTTGTTAGATGCGTATTTTCGTTTCAATTCTATCGCTTTTGTTAATTCTTCAATTTAGATAAGGCGTTAGAAGTAAGGTTTTATCTTGTCGTTTGCGAAATTTTTTAACTCACGTGTTCTGGTGCTGATAATTAGGAGATGCAGATGTTTTGAAAGAATGCGCATGTCCTATTGGAGAAGTGGGAACATTTGGCGCGGTCCGTGGTGATGAATGAAATGCGCACAAATGACGCGATAATAACTAATATAATTAGCGCAATGAAAATTAAAATTTAATTAAAAGAAAAATAAATAAATTTACAATGTAATTAAATCACACCAGGCGAAAATATCGGCTATCTGGATGTGATGGTGAAACGGACGAACTTGGAGCGCCACCAGACGAAAATAAAACTGCTTTTCTGGTCAAGGTCAGCGGTTTCGGAACGGTCTCGGACATTTGACACAATCGGTTCCACAGGCAGTGAGTTAAAGAAACGGCTTAGTTCAGAATTCGGCGGGTGGTTACGTCCCAGGGAGGCAACTGAAACAGAATTACGACTCACGGACACGGTAGCGATTGCCTTAACGGAAACGATTGCCTTAACGGTAACGCAAGCAACAAAGTATAAATTAATTAGCGGTAGCAACGGGAAATCATGAAGGGAAAGTAAAAATACCCCCTTTAGCGGAAGAATGATAGCCTACCTTTAAAGTTAACGGAACGGTGATCATAAAAGGTACAGTGAAAATTGTCAAAAAGTGTTTACTATTCGGTTAAAGCTGAATTTATAGTTCCGTACCCGCAACACCGTACCGTAACGTTTGGAATTAAACCCTACTTGTTTGGTGTGAACATTTATAATTCGCGTTAACGTTGCGTTAGAACGGTTACGGTACGTAGGAAATGCCCAAATTTTATTTCTTACGGTAAATCGTGCTAACGCGCTTGTCTTCGGTAGTACTCGGATAATTCAAACAGTTGAGTTTATCCTGACGTTCGTTTCGTTTATTTACAATAATTATTGACACTTTGTTGGTTATTATTATTTTGAAATGCACGTTACTCTTACTGACAGATGACATACAATGGCAGATCTCGTTTCGCACTAATGCGCAAGCTCATCTCTTACCACTACGGTAACTATAAATCGTATAATTTTCGTTAACGTAAGATTTTACGGTTCCGTTCTTACGTTCTTACGGCTACGGAACTATAAATCCGGCTTTAATCCGGCTTTAACCCTNTCATAATTCTAATGTCATCATGTTTTTGCCCATTTTTTGTTTACTAAAAATCGCTAATTCCTGCTCGATCGGTTGAGCTCAAAAATTGGGGCTTAACTATTCTAAGAGCTCATAAATAGCTCATAAATCTAATGTTATCATGTTTTGCTAAATTACTTTTTTTAACCGTGGGGGGGGGCTGACTACTCACGTCGCTGGCCGCCCCACTCAAAATTGAGGATTCCTGTTCAACCGGTTGAGCTCAAAAATTGGGACATATCTATTCTGAAAGCTCATAAATAGCTCATAATTTTTCATGTACCGATGTATTGTTTTTCCAAAGTGGGGGGGCTAGTTACGTGGAGGTAATTGGTGGTTCGTTTTCTTCTTTGGTTTTCTTATGAATTAATGGGCGGGTTCATAAGACACAACTGTTGTGGAACAGTTACCGATACGTCTTATCATCGTCACTATAACTTATTTACGCTCTTTAAGGAGCAGTCGGCCATTTTTAGTAGCGCTACAAATATCAAAGTAGGGATCGTGACATAAGACCACCTGTTACCGTAACGTATCGGTAACTGTTGTGTCGACTAGGAAAGAGCCTTGTCTAGGTTGTGTCTTATGAACGATAGCCCCATATCCAATCGGCGGTCATCTTGAATAAGTAAATTAGATTACAGACAGTGACAATCCGCGGGAACGCGTCACTATGACTGCGCAGTGCTTATGCTTTGAGGTCGCTAACTTCGCTACCTGCACACAATAAAAATCTCAAATTTTGAACCGCCGTTGAAGCCATTCGTAGCATTACCTTGTAGTGTATTTAACCTCCAGGTTCTACGCTAACCTCACACTACCAGAACACGGAAATAAAGTCAACCTAGCAACGTTTAAAAGTGGCCACCCGAATGACTATTCCCTCCAAAACTAAACAAGATCCCGCTTAAATTTGAAAAGTGGCACGTGATAAGACATCTAAGGCAGAGCTCCCTTACGTTAATTGTAAGAACGCTATGACCTGAAGCACAGTAAGGAAGGAATGTAAAATAAAACACTGAAATTGTGAAAAGTTTGTTTAATAATGATCGTAATTATTATGATTGTAAAAGCTTGGAAATTTAGTAAATTAATATAAACAAAGCAAGCAAAGCCAAAAGGTGTCGTACTCTCGCAAAAGTAACTGCTAAGGGTAAAAAGAGTACGACGTAAGAAAAACTTCGCAGTTTGATTAATACAGTCCAAAAGTTAATTAACAAAATATTTTGTAAAAGTTTAAGCAGTAGTTAACAAAGATAGTAAATGCATATATACAATGTTGGTTACACTCAAGGTTAAAAGCAAGTTTTTGGGAACAATGGGTCAGGTAGTAGCAGGTACCTAAATTCTGAGAAAGGGTTAAGAGTACAGGATGTGACTCATCTTTGGTGCAATAAAGTCCTTTTGTTAAAAGCAAGATGGAAAATTACATGGCCTTGTAGGCAAATTTGACTAAAAACAAGATATGTGGAAATTATTGAATCGCCACTCATTTATCGCACATAGATTCTAAACTGAAGAGCTTTGATTAGCGTAATCCCGCTCCTGCAAGATAGGTAGCCCGCCCCTGGTTTCGAGCCTACAGTTGGATGTCGAAGACAATCACGGAATTAGGTGTCGTACTAAAATTTTGACTACAGTTTTTTTAACACCCCCATAACTGCTTCATTCACGGAGAAAATTGTTAGTAACAAACAACAAGTCAATACATACCTCAAACGAATCGGTAATTTCCACATATTGAAATAAAATGATTAAAACTTACATCAATGTTACTTCAGGGACAAGGCCAAGTAATCAACATCAATAAACATAAATTAAGCAACCATTACCCCAAAAACGTAAACAATTACAAACAATAGCATAACGGTATCACACATGTGATTCTGTATAGCGAATAAACCAAGTAAATTTCAAAAACAAAGATTCAAACACACACAAAATATAAAATGCGTCATACAAAACACAAATACATTATAAAGAAATGCAAAAATTACTCCTTGCATTAAATAACACAAAATAACAACAAACATTTATGGAACGACGCGTACACGACCGCCATTTAAGACAAGATGCCCAACGTAACCCTGGTTCGTGCTCTCTAGGTGGCGCAGGCAGCTTTTCCCCACCTAGAAATTGCATGGTTGCCAACTCTCAAAAATGTATATATCGTCGTAAGTTGTATATACAGGGTGGAACCTCTCAACCTCTTTATAGATCATCATAGTCGTAGAGTATGAAATTCGCATTCATCATTAAATCCTCATTGCATAATATAATTATTTGGCGAATCGAACCCATACGAATACGGCTTCAGACGAACGCCCTCTATAATACTTTTACTTTACGGAATTATCTACACGCGAAATAACGCTGTAATTGGTTAGGCACCGGGGTAAAGGTGTTAAATTATTTATTTGATACTCAGTTGTAAACGTTGATTAACAAGACAACTCAGTTGTAAACGTTGATTAACAAGACAAAACGCAAACGGTAAACGTCATGTTTAAACGCTACTGACTTGTAAAACTGACAGCAGACTTGTAAAACTGACAGCAGACCTGTAAAAATTTTACAAGTTAGTAATCTAGTAATTTCATTGGCCAGAATTAATGCGAAGTCTCTGTTACATGGATAACATGATATTTTAGACATTTCTTCAAGATCAATTTAAGAACTAATTATTTACGTTTACTATTGTTTACAAATGAGTAACAAATAAAATATTGTACATTATACGCCAGGTAATAGTTTTTACTGGCTACAGGAGATGACAGGCTCGCCAGTCAACTTCTCCTATCGCCATTTTAATATTGTAAAAACCACTCACCTCCGGCTAAATAATGTAATACTATTGTAAAATTTGTTTGTTGTGTTAGGGCAAAAATGACGAGAGCATTTTAAGTAATTTAACTAATTTAATGTTTCTGCCAAATCTTGACTGTTATCACATAATTCATTCTAGACTTCGATACATGCGCTAAAGCGCTGTTTTTTAAAACTTTTTACTATTACATTGTATACAGAGTGTTTCAACAAAAGGAGCATCTAGTAATATAACCTATTGCAATTTGCATTACGACAGCTACATTTCAGAAAGCAATAATTTTGCGAACTTTGTGTCCGCGTGTCCAAATAGTAAACGACCGTTGGCCTTGCCTAACTTGTAATATACAGCGTGTTGCATCGAGAGGCGGGACGTAGGAAATCCCATATAAATTTGAAAGGAGGTTAAGCATTTTGCTCTCCTTAATCATTAGGAAAATCATTTAGGTTATTTGAAGAGCAATCTAAAAGAATAACTTAGATGTTTTTGGTTTAACCCCTTAACGAGAAATATTGCCAAAAATATTTTGTATTTCTCCATTTCTTTTTATCGCCCCTTATTTACAGGGAAACAATTGAGGTTAAAGGTTGATTGTTAAATGGAAATTGTTCCATACTGAAATTTAATGCTTTATTTCTATATGAATTAATGAAATTTACACGATTGACGAGAAAGTATTGATGATTAAATGGTTAGATATTATTCTACTTCTTTACACTAAGATATTATAGGTACAATGATCATCGAAAAGTTATCAGACATGTTTTGCCTGCTCAGTAAATGACCTGAACAGGCCGATTACCCAACAAAATCAACAATTGATAGAATTATCAAAAAGATGCGGATTTTAATGCTCTTCAAATAACCTAAATAGAATTTTCTTCTTAGATAATTAGGGAAGCCAATAATTAACCTTCTTTAAATTTACATGGGATTTCCGATTTCCTATGTCCCGCCTGTCGATGCAACACGCTGTATAATAATATATATTACAAGTATTATACAATGGTTTTATGAAACAGACCCCTGGGCTTGTTGGGAATCATTTACGTATAATGCATATATTATTATCTAATCTATTGTCAAGGAGTAATTTTTAAGTAGGTACCTATTCTTTATTGTATGTAGATTATGAAATCCCCGCTAGAGGAATCGCAAATGAATTGGACAATTAATTTAAAATTTTAAATAAAGAAGCTGACGTTAGTAGCTTTAATTATACCAAAATCTGAGAAGGAATGACAAACGTATTGTACGAAAATGAGCAAGTGTATAATGACATCATCGTGCGATCAATGATAAGGTACAGCTCCGCTTCGTTTATCCTCGTAATTGTACGTTCTCCGTCAACGATTTTTTTTTCTAATTCAGTGTCGTCCAATGTACAAGTGTGTGCGTTACCTTCAATGTTCTGTGCCGTAATTTTTGACGGGTAACCTTTTTAGTAACTTTCGTTTTACAATGTCACGGTTAGAAATCGAAACCAACGGTTTTCATAGTACGTATAAGATATCAGAAAAACGCCATTCAATTAAGTTAATTGCATTTTGATGTTAAGGTGAAGGGCAAATGGACGAAGTATTTGAAGAAATTTCGATAGAAGTGCCTTGGGGTCATATCGTCGGTAAGTTTTCCGCTAATAATGACGTAGCATGTTCCAATAAAAACACTCAGTCGCTCATGTCTAAATTGTTATCATTGGAATTGTTATTAAATTAAACAAGTTGATTAATTATCGTAGGTATTTAATTAGCAGTGAAGGACTAAGCGCAGAGTCTCTAATCAGGGGCCTTGGGGGATTTTTTACAAAGATTTTATTTTAATACAAGGTAATTCATACATTTGTATATATAGCAAATTTACGAATCACCCTGTATCTACATCAAAAACTTGCTCTAGCAGCGGCTAGTTGGCTTAAATCCGCGAGAAAATGATCAGTGAGTTTTCATAACAAAGCATCTACCACTGCCCATCGTATACATAAATATGAATCTAGTATTTCTATTGTCTCCTTGACAATTGCGAACCTTTTTACTAAACTTACATATAAATGTATTAATATAAAAATAAACACAGTTAATTAACATTGTTGTATTTAAAAAGTTGTGGCGCCACATGATAAGATATGTATAAAGGCGTTTTCATGTATCATGGCCATATCGCTAATAAAAGCAAACCACAATAATTAATGATCTTCCGTTCACGTTACAATGCCCCTCTACGTTCCACGTTTTGCCCAACAAATAGTGAAAATCAAAGTTAACCAGTAGGTACTTTAAATTCTAGAGTGGAAAATTCTCACTTAATTTCTTAAATATTAAGAAACTGGGAATTTAAGCCTCGAGATAGAAAAAACTTCAATGACTTCGACAGCATCTCGCAAACAAAATGCACTTTATTCTTATAAGTATAGATAATTAACACCGAATGAGAAATCAGAAACGGTAGGAAAATTAGACGTCGTTAATGAGATATTATTTTGTTTTTAAAACGTGTCTCCAAAATCAAATCTTTAAATGGCTGCGGCTGTGAAGGTTTCATTCCGCACCTGTGTCTGATGAACAAAATGCTTTCCTATCAATACAGTGCTGGCTCAAGGCAACGAAGCAAGCACTAGAATTTGCGCCTCTCTCCGCCTCGCTAAAGCCTGAATAATGGGAACTTTTAGCAAGCATGTTTTTAAAAATACAGGGTCTTAATTAATCTCGTGCAGATATTTCCGAGGATATTTTAGGGGGCGATAGCACTCGTCAAAATAAGAAAAAAAATGCCAATATGTGCGTGGTCTAAAGGGCTTCATTTTCGTTAAACACGGTGGCAAAGTTTGAATTTTTTCTCATATTTTGCGCTTTCTCTCTTATGTTCTGTGATAATTGTTTAAAATTGGATACATCAATTATTTTTTAGAATCTCTACAAGTATCAAAATAGTTGGTGGCGGTATACAGGGTGTTACATATTCTTTGCCACCCTGTATAATGAAAACGACGCCTTTTAGACGATGCATATATTTGCATTTTTGTCTTATTTTGACCAGTACTATCACCCCCTGAAATATCTGCATAACATTTATTAACGGCTTGTATAGAGGTTCATATTTAAAACATTTATTGCTAGCAGACCCGGCGAACTTCGTACCGCCTATCAGTTAATGTCCCGGAAATTCTCATTATTTGAAAAGCAACATTTTCCGTTAAGTGTTAACGCGTCTGTTATTTACATAGACATATGAGTATTAGATGTCTATGGTTATCTGGATGGCTATTTACGAATATGCCTCTCGTGTACGGATTTTTATGTCCTTGGTCCGTCAGTCATTTTTGCACCCCTTCTTGTCTGCGCCGGGTCTGCGCCTTACGCCTATAGCCGGCCCTGTTCCTATATGATCATGGCTTTCGAGATATTCGTTCTTCGATTTCTTTCTCCAAAGAAATATTGGCAAAACTTCCCGAAGCCGGAGACATTTGGCAAATCCGCAAATCGGCTCGCAAAATGTGGTGCATTTTAGTCTTCTTTTAGCATGTAAGTGAACGAATTCACCCGAATGAATTCGTTCGGCTAATATGAGACCGTACAAACCACACACGGGCGAACGAATATCTCCAATTCTCTAATTTTCGCTCACCAGGCGGTAGGTAGATCAAAGAAAATTCGCGAAGGATTTATTCGGTGGCTTCCCACAGTATTCGCTACTCGCGAAAATAAACGAGTGCTTGAGAAAGCAGTTGTTCGGAGGTACCCAGCTCCTACGCTACACGGCAACACGGAAATAAAATCGACACGGCTACGTTTAAAGATGGTTACCGGAATGGCTATTCCCTCCAAATGGCGTGAAGTACGGTAGGGAAGGAACACGAAATAAAAAGCTTAACTGACCATTAGTTTGTTTATAATAATCGCCGTTTCTGGAAATTTAGTCGATGTACGTTAATGTTTAAAAGTCAAAAAGGTGCCCGGAAAAAAAAACAACTGGCTGAGTACGGCTGAGAAAAACCTTGGGCATTTGATTAATACATCCAAAAAAAGTGTACAGTGATTTGCAAAATTATCAAGCTTAAGCAATAATTAAAACAAATAGAAAACGCATATGCACAAAATTGATTACGATCAAGGTTGAAAACAAGTTTAGGTAAAACAGAAGAATTTTTTAGCAGAATTCCACCCCTGGATCTGGAATATGTAACAATGGGACTCGTGCGGGACTTCCCAGCCTATATAGTTGAGAGAGATATCGTTTGGCTACAGTTTATTACCACCCCTGTGACCGTCTTATTCTGTAACTGATGTTACAAAATTATTTCTTCCCCATCCTGAATCTTCCGGTATCTCAATTAAATTGACTCGCTCTTGGCTTAATTTATTTCTGGGTGATCCACTAAATGGGCCGATTGCGTGAAGATTGCACGATACGCGGATTCCAAGAGACCACTTATGTCGCTATTACGAAGTACCTCTTATGCTTTTTTTGCATTGCGTATCTTTTTAGTGCATTACTTTGGAAGGCGCTATAATAGTCACAAGGCCACTTTATTTAACTTCACTTACCTACTAAAGTTTTCAAGATATTTGGTTCATTATTTTTGCATTCGGTACCTTATGGCTCTGGCACCTCAACCGAGAAAAATCTTGACGATTCATTTGCGCATGCACAGACTGCGCAATGTCAACTTTCTTATTTATAGATATTTTTTTCAAATTTGAACCAAAGATTTTTTTAGTAAAGACAAGCATATCGTATATTATAAAAACAGATGTGCGGGTAATGTCATTTTTTTAAATTCTAGTCAGATGCTTCCTGTAAATCGTTGTTGTAAAAATATGATATTCGCTTGCGCAGACTTACTTATTTAGACAGATATTTTTTGAAACTTTAAGTAAAGACTCTTCTATATTGTAAAGACAAGCATATCGCATGTTGTAAAAATCAGATTTGCGCACGCGCAAACTGCGCAATGTCATTTTTCTTATATATCTAAATCTATTCATGGAAAATGCGCTAAAGTTACTCCAGATAAGTCATTTTTAGCGCTATTATTTTGTCCGTTCGTCCGGACCCACTTCTACCTTTTGAACTAGGAAATGGTCCTAGAGTCCTGCAATTTTTTGCAATGAGTAGTGTATACCTTGAAGGTGTGCCAGACGGCCATCAAAATCAAATTTCCCTGTTTTAAGGGTGAGGGGGGGGGGGGGGGGGGAAANAAAATCTCGTTTTTTCCGGAATGTGTGTATGCGCATTTAATGTCATTTTTTGGAATTCTATAGTTCACAGTTGTTAATACACAACTTTGCCAAATTTACCACCTACCTATCTCTTACATTTCCCGAGATTCCCATGGTGGCCCTCGAATTCGAATCAGCCTGTCAATTACTAATTTACAAAAGACCATCCCTCGAATGTAAGACATTGGGAACAAATGTATATTTAGGTATAAACGGCTAAAAAATTAAAAAAAAATCGGTATACCGTGTGTCCCCGGATTGACTTTACAAGAAGAAAAACTTTTACTATACTTTTTGACAAGAATCCATTCTCCATAAAAGCTTTTGCTTGTTCTAATTCGAAATGTCCCTACCGTTTCAGAGAAAAATATAAAAAAAACGAAAATATGGTTGAACTTTTTCCAAGTCCTAAAAGTCAAAACGCGTCTTTACTGTAATAACATTTCGTTAGTTACAAAGTCTTCGTTACCTGTTATTTGAATAGGCACTAGGATCGTTATAAGTTATAACTTATAAGTATAACAAACACACTTCGTAATGACATTGAATTTCATTAAGTGAAGGAATCAAGAGTTTTACTGAGGGTCCTCCCAAACAAAAAGCCCCTGTCGCCACTTGTGAACCAATTTTACGACCTTAATTTTGAAAGTCCCCCATGCCAATAATTACGCGATTTTTACTTCATACGTTACGTTACAAGCGGTTCATTATTCTCCTCAAGTTATGTGCGGTAGAGAGCTAATTATAATTTTGTTAACCTAGCAGTCTGTAAGGAGCCGTGAACGACCTTGCGTTTGTGTTTTGTATTTTCTTGTCGTGTGGTTATGCAAATCAAATTGCATTTTTTTAAAAGCACTTAAAGAGAGTATAATGATTTAAATATTTGTATAGAAAACTGCTGTAGTTACGCTATTCATTATTAGGTACCAGCACATTCTAACGAAAAAAACTTTGTCCTTTACTATGGGTACTTCTCTTTTCAGGCAATCCCAGCCTTAAGTACCATAAATTCCATAAAAATATGACACATAATAAAATGTCATCCTTTTCTATAGAAACGCATTTAAAAACAAGTCAACAACATAATGTTGAAATGCATACTTGAGTTTCGCTCTTTGTTGTGGAAAACGGTACGACGCGACGTCTATTCAGTCGCACTTTAATTAATAAAGTTTAAGTATTAAAGTGTAATACACCACTGGTCAGGTGGTATTCTAATCCTGAAATATGAAAACTAAATCATTCGTAATATTTCAATGATCGTAATGCATCTTTTTTTTAAGGAAAATGGTGGGGGAGAAAGGATATTCAACCTGTCCTGGCGATACACGGATGGCAAGACAACGCGGGCACCTTCGACACACTAGCTCCACTATTAATAGGACCGAAAGTATCGATACTATGCATCGATTTGCCCGGCCACGGTTTCTCCTCGCACTATCCGAAAGGCCAAACCTACTACATCTTCTGGGACGGAGTTTACCACGTGCGACGGATCGTGAAACATTTCAAATGGGAAAAGTTCAGCATAATGGGACATTCGTTGGGTGGCGCGATTGGATTTTTGTACGCCTCCATTTATCCTGACGAAGTAGATAAATTAATCTCGCTCGATATTGTGTGCCCGCCCGTGAGGGACATTATAAGTACCATGGGCGAGACGATCGATCTATTTTTTAAATACGAAGCGTTGAAACCCGAGGCGTGTCCGCAGTATGAATACGACGACATGATTGACATAACTGTTGACGGTCACAATAACAAACTCACTCGCGCGTCTTGCGAGATATTGATGAGACGCGGGATGAGACCAACACCCGAAGATAAATCAATTTATCGTTTCACCAGAGACATTAGGCTTAAGTCATCTATCATGTCGGCGCTTACGCTAGAGCAGGCATATGCATTTGCTGTTCGAATATCTTGCAATGTGCTAAACATTAGGGCCACAATTCATTCTATTCAATTGGAATACTATGAATCTGTCTTGGATAAAATTAGGACAAATGCCAAAGTCGAATATCATCTCGTCAATGGAACGCACCACGTGCACTTGAATAATCCAGAACGTGTCTCTGGTATTATCTCAAAATTCTTAAAATCATAGGTATCATTTACGTATACATCTAATTTATTAAAAGGTTATCTGTTTTGTGATGAGTTTTTATTTAAATAAATTTAAATAGGTGTGGCGTGTGGTCATGTGAGGTCTGGCTAGCTAACAGTTTATAAGTAGACAAAGATCTGGAGATGCTTTTAAATCTGTGCCGGAAAGTCCGTCCACAAGTAGTTGCTTTAAAATTAAACGATAAAAAAATAAAGTAATGCGACTATCGGCGGGACTGTAGGCTCGAGCGCCACCAGAAGATTCGAAAACCCTGCCCGAGGAAACGGCGATTTCAAGAAACGGGCGATCGGTTCTGACGGATAAGCAAATCGGCAAACGAAACAAAGGAAAATAAACCCCCTTTATAATGAACGAAAGGAAACTACCTTTAAAAGTAAACGGCTCGGTAACAAAAATCAAAATTCTTTTGAATACTTATTTTAATTTTCAAATAAATTTGAATAAATAAACAAATTGTTGTAATAAAATAGTAGTCGTAGTAGCGGCAGTCGAGAGCAACCAGTTCTGTCGGTAAAAATCGGTTGAGGGAACGGACGAAGGGACTCGGGGGCTACGAAGTGAAAATCTCGCGCCTGGTCGAAGTCGGCGTTGGCGGGTCGGTCTCGGTAGCCTCGGGTGAAAACTCAATTGGAGAAACGGTAGCTCCAGGTATCAGACGAGTCCAGCAGCTGGAGGCGGTAACTTTGCAAAACTAAAACAAAATTACGGCAGACTCCCTAGCGGGAGCGGCATCAAGAAAACAAAGATCGGCGGACAAGAATTAATTGTAGGAAAGCGTGCAATAATCCTCCCCTACCCCTTATAATTAGCGAAACGGAAGGTAATGTAAAGGTCACCTTGCAGCTAACGGAGCGGTAGAAAAACTGGCAAAAATCAAATCCAATGAATACATGTAACTTACGACCGAGCTTACGACACAAGCAAAACAAAAGGGTACGAATGAAAAATGTATTGACGGTAATGACGAAATGAATACGGTATTTATAAGTATACTGGGCAAAATGCAAAAACAAAAGATTTCAATTCGTTACGGTGGAAAAAATACGAAAATATCCAAAATAAAGATCGAAAAGGTTAAATGCACACTAAGCAAGACGACGAAATATTCCGCCTTAAACCAAGTTTGTAATGTTCCTAGGGGGGGGGGGGTCTATCAAGCCGACACTGAAGACGTTAACTTGCCCTATACTTACCGTTGGCAACTCTGAAAAAACTACGAGCAGAGTGAGAGCCACCTACCTTTCAAGTCGAAACAATAGAAGTTTCGCGGCACTTTTGAATTTGGATGGCAGTCGGCTCGATATGGATGGCACGAATGAACTCCTACGTTGTGTTCTTGTATGTGTTGGGACGTGAGGCATAATCGAAAAGTGAATTAAATAAAAGACAGAACTTTTGTGCGTAAGAAATTACAAGAACAAATAAATATATTACGGACACAACAAGATCATGCTAGGGAAACCTTCTACGGGACAAAAACCCTAGCATAGGACACACAAATATATGAAATAAATCACCTACAGCAATAAAATGCAAAAGAAAATACACATCAAATTGTATGATAAAAATCAGATAATCAAATCAAATGCAATTAAACAAGTTCATAAAAACAAAATATACAAGAGATCATAAATGCAATGGAAAACATGATAAATTCAGTACAAAAACACATCAAAATACCTGTACGATCAATTGAGCTAACACAACTCTTAGATAATAAATTGCATGTATATAGAAAAGAAAGATTATCGCTCAAGCAAAACATATTTGAAATAGAGGAAATAATAATGAGAGGACCCCTACTCGCATTGCTAAGATGCTAAGAACTGTAATCCGCACGAGAAGAGTATTCAACAGATACAGCGAAAGGACGAACTGTATTAGGTACCTACTTCACGGACACAAAATGACCCACTCGCACACACAAACATCGAAACATCAAATAAGAGAGCCCCCCTTCGTATAGCTAACGCACAAGAACTGCAGCGCGCCACGAATCAGAAAGTAACACATACAGCGAACAATAAAACTATTAGGTACTTATCTCGCGGAATAGTTACGAATCAATCGGACAGAGCAACATCGCACTGATAATCAACTCCTCGTGAATACAGAAATAAATACTTAATTAAACAAAATAATGGCATAATCACCTGTACAGTATAACAAACACGGTTCATCTAACGGTACTCAAAAGTATGGAGTAAGCCATATTTAGATATGCAGTTTATGCAAAATCAGCAAAATTTAAATAATATCCAATTGTGGCAAGAAATTCAATGATTAATAGCTAGTACAAGAAAGAATAAAATGGTTAGTACCTGTAAATACACCTTCAAAACACCACCACCACAAATAATCAAGAATAAAAAAACCGGGAACGAGTGACGCCATCTTCTTTCATTCGGTATCTGCGCAAAACGGTCTATTGGTTATATACAGAGCATATCATATTTTCTTTCAAACGTAATTAAAGGTGTGTTGCCTAACCATAAGGGTGGACTATCACAAGTTCTCACCTTTTCTAAAATTTCCATAATACGGAAAGGGAGCATTGGAATTTCAAGTTCGCTCGACGAATGTACCGTTCAAAAATTAAAAGTTTTTCAATTAATTTCTCTATCCTCAGTTATCCTAAAAATCGGGGAGTAGCCATAAAATTCATGCCAATTAAGCGCGCATCATTTGACACTAGCACAATCAAACGCGGTTTGCTGCAACACATGACAACAATGACCGGGTTAAAATTCCGAAATTCGGTACAATTACACCGTTCGCGTCCCGGAATCCTAAGGTCAAGCCACAGGTCACTATCCGGTTTATCTAAGTGCAAACGAGTGACCTTGCCGGATTCTGTCCTAGTTTTAAATTAACGTAGAGATGCTGAAATCGGATAATACCTAGTTAACGGAGCTGATATCCTAAAATATTAATTTTTCCCTGCTTCTCCGTACCGAGAGGTATCGGATGCGAGAAACATTTACATATATCTACAAGAACAATTTAGAACTTTCACTTGCCAGTAGCCGGATTTGATTTGGTAGGTCGGCGTTGAGTCCTGAGCGGATTAATTGGATTGTTGACCGGAGCCGCTAGCAACGACTTTTTCATCTCTTTGTTATCTGTCTCGATGCTACTGGCAGTCGCTTGGCTGGTTCCATGCAAGAACCAACGGATTATGTAACAGCGTCTGAAACAGGAGGGGGTGGTGGATGACATTCCGCTCCTTCGCTAAGAATTCGGTGTTGAGGGTCCCGCGTATCACGTCGTTGTCATACTTCTCCAGGGCGACATAGTCGGGGGAGTAGGTTTGGTCGATATTCCACGCCTCGCCTTTAAGTGGTTCCGTTACAACGACGAGTTGCTCCTTTGGGTTCGACTTCGGAGCCATCAGTTCTTCTAGTGAAGACTGCGGCGGGATCCTCTAGTTGCCCCCCCGCTGAAGGTGAGTAGCTCGGATTGAGTCGCTTGCATCCACCAACGTTTGGATCAGATGGGCTTGTTCTTGGCCGCTACTGGATACTGCTGCCGGGTTCAGTTCGGAGTCGGTGGTGGTGGTAGCGTGGACGCCCATAACCGTGCCGATGTCTTGTTGCTGGACCCTCCGCTTCTCGCCTGCATGGGCGTGGGTGTCGTCGAAGCGCATTGCTGTTGATGGACCACTCGTGGAGGGTGCCAATTGTTACCGTAGTACGGAACAATTAATAGTGAACAAGATGTTTATTAAAAACGAAATCAAAGAAAAAAATTTTTCATTATATACAAATAACGCAAGTAGGCGTTGGCACCGTAATACGTCGGTCAAACGACCAGTTTCAGTCCCTTGTAGAAGGCGTTTGTGTTTCCGTATTTATATTCTACCGATCCTTTGTTACGCAAGTCAGTGATGGGTCAGATGCTGCAATCCATGTTGTAGGGGTGGATCGAGTGTGGTAACAATATCTTGAATTCTATTGGCAGTCCGTGTATTCGCGCCTGTTTCTCGCCACGCATTTTGTCTTGTTTCTTGAATACGGTCAAGGGGTTTTTACGTTTGTATCTTCTTCTGAGCCCTTATTCTCTACATCGAATTCGCGCCTGTTTCTCGCCACGCATTTTGTCTTGTTTCTTGAATACGGTCAAGGGGTTTTTACGTTTGTATCTTCTTCTGAGCCCTTATTCTCTACATCGAACAGAAAATATCATAAAATGGCGTTCCAACCACAATTTCTTATCAAACGCAGCCTTGCACACTTCAAAATTCGCCCATTCCTTATCCTGCATGATCTCTATCTCCTATCGGGAGTACATTGCAAATTATTAATTTTCGATTCTCGATTAGTGTAAAGTACAAGTAAATTTATTGGACGTATAGCAACATGTCAGAATGGTCCACAGGGCATTTTAACTATATTGCGCCACTGGACACGATATATTTCAAACAGAAATCGAAGTGATAAAGTCGCTCTAGCTAGGATAATCTGCGTTTCTAACGTAAGCATACTTACGTTTTGTTTTTTTATTACCGAGTGGTTTTATAGTGTGGATTATGCACTATCTAGAATGACTACATTCGTTTAGTTTAGCCTCCTAGCTCAGGGAACACCGACGCTTTTCAAAAAATTGCGCAATCCATTTCAAGACTTCGTACCTACTCAGCATTTTATCCTTAGCTCCGCAAGAAACTTAATCTTAATCAAATGTCGCAGTCACAAATTAATGGCTTCCAAAGTACGTATACCGAACTATCATAAAATAGTTGCATATACGAGTTAATTAAATTTTAGGTCAAGCTAATTCGCATACGGGTGCTGAGTTTGAAGAAATCACAATAGACGTTCCTTGGGGATACATTGCGGGTGAGCCTTATAGTGTTTACTAACGTAGGTAGTAAGTTTAAGAGCAATTATCGCTTAATTACTTTGCGCAAGATAATTAACTATAACAAGGCCTTGTCTAACGCCAAGGACACGATATGTAGCTTATCGATTAAGCCAGGATAGTGTTTCGGAGGAAGATTGCTTAGGTACATTTCCATAATCATTTTCAACCATTTTTCCAAATTACGGACGAAAAGCTAAACCTCATGACTCATTGCCACATGACATTACTTAATTTTAATGAAAAATTTTTAGTTCGTGAATCCTTCTTTCTGAATATTCTTCCAAATATTTAAATATTTATTTTCCATAAATTTCCCCCAACTTTGTTCCTTCAACATATTTACTACAAACATATTCGCTCCCAGATCGCAACAAAGGAAAATTTGCTCCGCCCACTAGATTCGCTTAAATTTCCTGTTCAATCCCGATAGATTTTCCCCCAGAATATTTCCCCCGAAAGGTTTATCACTCACATATCCGCCGTTCGAATTTTAAGGACTTTTCCACACCGAATAAGAAAAAATTCAACCCAATAAAATACGCCTCCTTCCCAGAAATGTGTCCCGGCTATATTTCCTCCGAAAGCTTTACCAGCGAAATACTCACCACACTTTCACGGAAAATTCGCCTTATTGAAATCTTCGCAAACCCAAGCTTTCTTAGATCTGGAAATATTTAATACCATTAGTTCGTCTTGGAAAATATTTAAGGCTTCGGCCACTCTTTTATAGGACTCCTTGAAGGTTGGTAGAGGACCTGCTACAATAATTCCTAGCACCATATTCGTTTAATTGCAATCTGATTTTTGAGTATGAACCGCTTTACCCAAATAGTTTTTTATTAGACAATGTTATGTTGCTAATAGTGCTTGTGTTCACTTTCAAATTTTATGTACTGCTACTACCCTTCTTCTGACTATAGTTATAATAGATTGTGCATCCCCGAAAGTAGTTAAGCAGTTCCATAGGTAATTCGAATACCTACCGAAACTATCATATCATGTGTATCTTTCTGGACCTGGTTACGTACCTAACCTACATCTGGCAATGTATTTTCAGTAGCCTCATTCTCATACTTATTCATTTAAGACATAATCATTATTTCCGTTCCTAAAGCCAACAAGAAGGATCTGTGACAGGGATGTAACCAGTCGCCACGCTAAAACGTTGTCGTGGTAATATGTACCAAAGTGTACTCATGTGCTAATAGATAGTTAATTTAGGAATAGTGATATTATTTTTTTTAGGCAAATGGTGGGGTTCAAAAACAATTCAACCTGTACTGGCAATACACGGTTGGCAAGACAATGCAGGAACCTTTGACACTCTGATCCCTCTAGTCATGGATAGGAATACGTCATTCTTGTGTATTGATCTTCCTGGTCACGGCTTATCTTCACAGTGTCCGCCGGGGCACCATTACTCTGCCTGGGACTTCGTACTTACTGTACGGCGAATAGTAAAGCGCTTTAAGTGGAATAACATTAAAATCTTGGGTCACTCCATGGGCGCGGCAATTGCATTTGTATACGCTGCTATATTCCCAAATGACCTAGACGGTTACGTTGCAATTGATATGATCTCCAGTGTGCCAAGGGAAACCGATGAGAATTTTGATTCCATTAAACTCTCGTTAGACAGATTTCTTCAGTATGATGGTTTCAACTGGGAAAATTCCATGAGTTATGAGTACGACGACATAGTACAACTACTGATGACTGTCTATTCCAACTCTCTTACCACTGAATCAGCCAAAATCTTACTAAAACGGGGTGCAAAGCAAACCAAAGATCACCGTTTCCAATTCAGACGCGACGCTTGTGTCATCGTCGATAATATGGCATCTTATTTTACTTTTAATACAATTTTAACGTTCTCATCGCGTATTAAATGCGACGTCATGTATATTCAAGCAGAATCGGGACTGATGCTTCACAAGTCTGAGCAACACGACGCTATAGTCGAGAGTATTCGCCAAAGTGCCAGAAGATTTGAACATTGCACGGTTCCTGGTACGCACCATGTGCATTTAAATAATCCCGAGAGCGTGTGCAATATCATTAAATCGTTTTGGAAGACCTGCAGGTAGATGCGCTTTATATATAGATTACAGTATTTTAAATAAATAATTTATGCGAAATCTTGTTTAATGATTTTTACTTGACTTATTTCGAAACCCACCGACCTGGAGGTCCAATCGAGAAGCAAACGATGTCATCCCAAATGCGGAACCGTAGCCAAACCCCCAAAAGAGAATTCGACACATTCCGAAATTCATCATCTGACCGGATTTCCTATTTCGTTTTGGTCTGTTGATGAACATCAAAGACCAAAACCTTATTGGACGACCGAAAGACTTCCAGTTGCACCGAAACCATGCAGATTAGTCCCAGACAAGCCAGAGGAGACCAAAACGAGTTATAGTTTATGATCCAGCTCCACCTTGTACAAAAAAAATGACCGACTGGAGACGTTGCGAAGACTACGGATCCCTGAACGCCAGGACGTTACCCGACAGATATCTTGTTCTGCACATTGAGTACTTCTCATAAGAACTCACACCTACTTACTAATTCCTAATTAGGCTCAAAAAGAATATCTCTGCTGGCCAGATAATTTAAACCTACTATAATAAATTTTTCTTTTAGGCGATCGATTTCGACTTTATTGTCATCATCAGGCCGTAGCGTCAAAGTTAAAATATATTAAAATGTGGATGGGTAGTGGTAACATAAGCAATTTTTTGTGAACAGATATGGATTTATTATAATAGGTAGTTCACAATAATACCCTTCACCCTTCATTAGATACCAATTAACGAAATGGAGTCATTCATCAAGCAAATTAAACCTACCTTAGTAAATAATGAAACGAGTAATTCTAAATCAACAATCTCAAAATCTCAGTTTTATATACTGATAAACCGAAATGAATGCAAGAAATAAAGATAATGGTCTGTACCTTATCGTCCTGGAATATCGCTCACGTTGATACTAAATGCCTCACTAGGTTATAGCACACCCGTGGATGACGCCTGCAAAACGAATTCGTGAAGGTGTCTCGTACTGCTGATCTCCTTTCAAAGATTCACGTACAATACTGGAGATTCAGGCAACATCGGAAATTTTGTCCAAATAATCTGAGACTTCATTCACAAACAAATCGCCAGCTTTTTAAATAATAATGCATCGCAGGCAAAGCAATACAACACGCAACACTTTTCGGCGACCATTAACACATGGAAAGTTTTCAATTTATGGCGAAACAATATTAGTTCAGGCAACCCTAGTTAGTTTTGATCTGCGCATAATCCGCTGTAGCCTTTACGTGGCGGTACCAGCATAACGATAAAGAATCGCATACAATTTTCAGTAGGCCAATTTGTTGACACTCAATTTGCATTAGGAAACACGACTATTAAATCGGATCATATTCGCAATAGCACTGATCCTAGAAATCGATTGGCGAAGGTTTGACATCGCTGTCTCTTTTCGTTATCGAGTTAGACGAGGAAAGAACAGACAGACGGACGGACAAAACCTACACGTAAGGGAATTTCTTTTAAAAAAATTCCCTAAAAAAATACATTTGCATACCTATTTCCTATTTTATCGTTCTTGCTGTTCCTCTTCCACACAGCTAACCAAAAAGTTTCTCCCTCGACAATTTGTCCATTATACTAAACCACACACTAGTAAGTTTATTAAAAGATATACCTACCTATGTATACCTAATGTTGCCTTCCTGTTTGGTTTCAGTTAATTTTTGTGGCTGTAATACGCACCAAAAGTTTGCCATTTTTGAGGTTTGCTAGTGTGTGTTGTCTACTTTCAAATGATAAAAAGTCTTCTGGTTCTTCTAATTTTATGCAACCAAAATAACTTCTGGAAACAAATAAAGATCTGGCTGTCATATTAATTTATTAATTTGGATATTGTTGCTTTGGCTTCACAGAAGATACATCTCTTAACTGAGACCGGCACTATACCATTTGGAAATATCAACTTTTTCTTTAGTTGAATTCATTGCACACGAACGAAAATTAACATACGGAAGTCAAACCGATAATATTCAAAATGATTAATATGACAGACAGATCTTCATCTTGTTGTAGGTAGTTATTTTGGTTGCATAAAGTTAGGCGTCCTTTAGAAGAGTTTGTATCATTTTCGTATGTCTACTTCTACATGCATATCACTGTATACAGGGTGTTACACGACCGTTCGAAAAAAAAAAATCGGGTTGTAGAGGGCATCAAAACAAGCACTTTTTCCAAATAAACCGAGGGTCCAACGTGTTTCGTTTGGGAGCCACCCCCCAAAGAGTGTTGAAATCTGCATTTCTTCTTTAATTTTTTTCTCAGCAACCATAAGAGTTACAAAGTCGGGTGGCATGTCTTTGAATAGGTTTTTGGGTATGCTCTTTCCGATTTTGCAATTTTTTTTTCAAAATTCCTACCCCTAAAGGGCGCACCCCTAAACTAGGGTGCAAAAAAAAATTCTGATTTCGACGAAATTTGGTATCTGGGGTTTTTTTTAACATGAAAATCACGAATCTGAAATTAGTTTTTGAAAATTCGAAAAAAAAAGTTCCACTGCAATTCTTGGCGGGACAACGAAAATAGAGATAATTCCACGAAATTTGTTGTGTACATACTAAACGAGTTAAGGAACAAAACTGTCGAACAGTTTTTTAAAATAACTTTTCAAACAAAAGTTATACTCATTTGAATGTTGGTCCTTCGGGTCGCGAAGTGTCCCAAGCCTACTAGTAAGCCATAATTTCGCATGTGTTGGTTGACAATGTCGCAAAAACAAAAGATTAACGGTTTGAGTCGATATTTTGTTATTTGGAATTAATTCGGTCATTAAATGATTAAAAAATTCGATGTATCGATTAAAACACCTACCAAGGTATCTTAAAGCGCTGATCGATTATTTATTATCTAAATAAGGTAGGGGAAAAAGTCAAATCACTTTCCGTATGATACTTTTTCACTATGATCAAAAATTTTCATAATCTTAGGTTGAAAAATAACTTCCAATAGAACACGCTCCTTTTAAGGACAAATTTCCCCTACCTTATTTAGATAATAAACAATCGATCAGCGCTTTAAGATACCTTGGTAGGTGTTTTAATCGATACATCGAATTTTTTAATCATTTTATTTTTTATTGATAATTTACATGGTGGTTAAAATACTAGTCTATAGCCACATAAACAGACCCATAATTCCCGCTGTCATAACAACGGGAATTATAAAATCTAATTCCCTGTCAGAACAATAGGACTACTTTGACAATTAATTGACATTTAGGGTAAAGTCAAACACAACTGTTTGCTGTCAATCGTGTAATATAAGTCAAAACCTACAGAAGGAACGAGAATGACATTTCATAGGTGGTAACCATGTTATATTTCTTAAAATGGTCTTCTTTTACGATACTTAACTTCATTCATTTGGTAGGTTGTGATACAGATCCATTGTCGTAGCAATTGTGTGTAAAACAATATTTTGAAATACACATAGGTACTTTTCAGATTTCCCTCAGACAGCGAATGGCGAATCTTAGACTTCTTGGGCTAAAATTCCTGATTCTTATTTTTAAAAACGTTTTCAATTGCCCATAACTATAATCCAAAAAAACGTCTTAGTATTGTTCAAATTCGACTAATAATGTGTATAAATAATACCTTGAAATATCTAGATTCTCTCGCACACGCAGCATGGATCTAAGCATGGAGTAGTAGGTCCACAAACACGACGGTTTTCAATGCTTAGATCGATCGCACTAAAATACGCCAAAAGAATTTTTTCGTTCACAATCTTCGATTTTACCGATCGCAATTTACAAAACTTGGAGTACCTATTCGTTTTCATATAATGTTTTTGAAGTCGCCGGCACTAACTCCTTAAAAGCGTCTTCAGCTTCTTTTATTCCCCCCATGGGAACATCGTCATCTTCATTCCCTTCCAACATTTTCCGTTCTTAAACAAAGCCAAACGACACAAAAATTGCTTTCAAAATGACGGACGCAGCATTTTTTGTTGTTTATATACGTAACTAGGTAACCATGGCAGTCGCAGCCAACCTCATATGCAACAGCGCGAATCAGATGTGAAATTTTTATTTGCAAATTAATTTACTTTTCAACAGTAATTCTACTATTATCAATAAAAAATAAAACGTAGAATGTACCACGGGATAAAACGGAGTATAATTCCCCTCGGGGAACGCAATACCCTCGCGACTACGTCGCTCGGAGTATTACTGTTCCCTCAGGGAATTATACTCTTGTTTTATCCCTTAATACATTATCTACTATAATGACCGAATTAATTCCAAATAACAAAATATCGACTCAAACCGTTAATCTTTTGTTTTTGCGACATTGTCAACCAACACATGCGAAATTATGGCTTACTAGTAGGCTTGGGACACTTCGCGACCCGAAGGACCAACATTCAAATGAGTATAACTTTTGTTTGAAAAGTTATTTTAAAAAACTGTTCGACAGTTTTGTTCCTTAACTCGTTTAGTATGTACACAACAAATTTCGTGGAATTATCTCTATTTTCGTTGTCCCGCCAAGAATTGCAGTGGAACTTTTTTAAAAAAAAATTGCAAAATCGGAAAGAGCATACCCAAAAACCTATTCAAAGACATGCCACCCGACTTTGTAACTCTTATGGTTGCTGAGAAAAAAATTAAAGAAGAAATGCAGATTTCAACACTCTTTGGGGGGTGGCTCCCAAACGAAACACGTTGGACCCTCGGTTTATTTGGAAAAAGTGCTTGTTTTGATGCCCTCTACAACCCGATTTTTTTTTTCGAACGGTCGTGTAACACCCTGTATAATATATAAGCATTGATTATACACACCATATATAATCAATGGTATAAGTACAGGGTCACAGTTTCCCTATGCTAATAATTTGGTGGCAATCGACAGGTGTGTGGAAACCATACTTTAGACATTAGCGCAGACTATTTTTAAGTAATGGGAATTCATTTTACCAACGGAATAGCTGTTTTACAGCAGCGCTCAGTGAGTGATTGGTGGAACTTCAATGTGTTTAAAAAAATGGCGTGTTATTTATTGTAGATTTTAGAATAAATATTCCCTTTGCTTTCTCTACTTACATGTGTGCACATTTATAAGTGGATGTTATAATTCCAAAATAAATCACACGCGAGTTAAGCCATACGAACAGTAAACATGTAAGTTTGTAATATTTGTAGGTTATAATAAGCATCCTTTATCATGTAGGGCGAGAAAAACACCTACAGAGGAAGATAAAGAAAAGAAGAAGGAGCGGGGTAGGGATAAGAAGAAGAAATCCGAGTCTGGTTCAAGCAGTAGCGATAGTAGCCGAAGTTCATCAGAATCGAGCTCCTCAAGCGGTTCGAAATCTTCAAGCAGTTCCAGTTCGGGAAGTAGTTCTCGTTCCAGCAGTTCGTCATCTGATAGCTCATCGTCGAGTAGCGACAATCGTACCCGTCCCAAACGAAGGTAAGCCAAACGAAAGATGCTCTGTTTTTGAATTTTTTTATTTCAGAGCATCGAGGTCGGCAAGCAAGCCTGTGGTGAGGAAAAGCCGGGAAAAGGAGCGTGACAAGAAAGATAAGGAGAAGGAGAAAGAGCGTGATAAGGAGAAGGAGGTCGTCAAAGAGAAAGATAAGGATCAAGCGAATCGCAAAGCTTCACCTCCCAGAGATGATAAGCCGCCCGTTTCAAAACCTCGTTCTAGGTACATCTCTTATTTATTGGTGTGCACACACATTTAAAGACCTTTGGTAAGAATTTTAATTTTATTGTAGGTCCAGGTCACGTTCGTCCCGTCGGAAGAGAAGGCGCCGTTCGCCTACCCCTCGACCGACCAAGATTCACATCGGCCGTCTGACGAGAACTGTAAACAAGGAGCACATAGTCGAGATTTTTAGTACTTACGGTACTATTAAGCATGTCGAGTTTCCCAAAGATCATGTCCATCCGCATATCGGTAGAGGATACGCTTACGTCGAATTTACCACCGCTGACGAGGCCGAAAACGCCATGAAGCATATGGACGGCGGACAAATTGATGGTCAGGAAATAACGGCCGCACCCGTGCTGATTCCGAAACCCAGACCGTTACCGATGCGTCGCAGTCCCATGCCGATGCGTAGACCGCCCATGCGGCGCACGCCGGCGAGATTTCGTAGGCGTTCGCCGTTGAGGCCGCCCAGACGAAGTCCGATTCGGCGGCGACCGCGTACGCGCAGTCCGCCTCCGAGGCATCGCAAGCGTAGCCGTTCGAGTTCTAGTAGTTCGCGTTGATTGGTCTTATTTTGACAATCATTTTCATTCAATTGCAAAATGTATATGTGCATGGTGGTGTCTTTATATTTTTAATTTTCAAAATGGTAAACAAATATAACAAGTACTAGATATTCATTTGTTATTTTTGCCGCACAGGGTGTCCAACAACCAGTTGGTATTACATGGGAAATAAATTTCTCAACATTTGAATCAGTTTTGGACAGCGTAACGGACAACAATTTGTGTAATTAAGGGCATGTGGTCACTACGCCCGTGCTTGACCCACAAATCACCTCTGCCTATATAGTAGCTCAATTACTAAAACTTTTAACATCATTTTTCCAAAGCAAAACCGGCTCCACTATCAAGAGAAATCCTAATAATGACTATATAGGAATTACTTAATTTAAAGACAGTTTTAATCGACATGTAAATTTCAAAGTATTAATCCGTAAACATTTTGATTACCACCACACCAGAAATAAAGCTTTGGTCACAAATCTGACATGAGTACTCTATCTGGGTAGCAAAATGAGTTCGAATCTTAGACAAGGAGGTTCGAATAAACAATTGTTTGACAATGACAAAAATTTATTCTGAAACATGAAATAAACATTCAATAAAATCCCCGAAATCCCGATTACCACCTGGCCTGTAGGTCATAATGGCCCGTTGGAAATTTATAAGTAGGTATATGTGCTGTATTGGCGGCTCTGCAGTGTAAGTTGAACTATCCGCAAAAAAAACGAATCATTTCTTTAAGATTTTGATTTTATAATCGCATTTAAAGAAAGGGCCGATGTCAAATATTGTAGGTATTAACCAACAGAATGATTGTGCGTAAACCATTTTTTGAAGTTTATTGCCATAATTTTGGAAATAACTAGTACAATTGATAAAGCTTCTCTTGAAGATAACGGAGCCGCTATAAAACATACAGACATGGGGTGTGGCGATTTACAACCAGCTAACAAACTTGTATGATTGTACATAGGTAAGTATATCTTTTTCATCTCTTAAAATAAGAAAAAAAATTAGGGAAAATGTTTTGATGACATCATGAAGTATTTCACCAATTGAAAGCACAATTAGGCAACTTAAATTACACCATACGCTCTCCGGCGAAATTGTCATTATCTAGCAATGGGGGTTTACAGTGTAGTTGAATTCCGCAGTTCTAATTTAATAACCGTGTACCTGAAACCATAAAACATTTTTTTGGACAGTAAAAGTTTATTTAAAAATAGAGGCTGATTAGCAAAAAAATAATGAACATGTGCGGTTTTAAAGGTTTATTCAAAACGATATGATTGTGGCGGGCTCTGTGACGTAATAAGCCCGACCAATCAGCTCCTAGAACCATTCAGATGACATAAAAACTTGGCAATATTGCAGGAGAATGGCATTTATAACTTGCGTCATCTGTCACAGGCACTTGTCACTTTCCTGCTAGAAGCACAGCCGTCTATAATTACAAGCCATGCTGAGAAGTTTGGCAACGTTGTTCGAAAGTCAATCGGTGGGCCGATGTAAGTTTTAATGGCGTTTTGTTGCTCTTGAAAAATGGCATTTTTCCTCTCTCCTATGTTTCGCCTTGGCGGTTTTAATGTAGAAGAAAGATACTTAGGCAGCTTACAATTGTGCATATATATTATTTATTTACAAAAATGGATAATAACATTTTTATTTGACTTTAAAATTTGGAACGCTGTAAATTGGTAACTGCATCATAATGTGTTTTCCATCGAGATCTCCGAAATTGGCGAACTTCTGTCGAAAGAGGTGGAGGTGAAGCACACGCTTGAGCACTTAATTTCGGCAAAAGGATAGTAAATCGCTGTGCATCAGCGAGGTTTTATCAACCACCAGGTGCAATTCAGAATGGCAGATTTTAAGCCAGTCGCTACTCCAGTGGGTCTAGGTACGAAGCTTTTAAAGAGGGGAGCCCCGTAGACTTCAAATTCCTGTACCATGAACTCTTGGGAATAAGTTGAAAGGTTCCTTCAGAAAATCGATTTGACATGTCCGTGCTAGAATACCTGAAATACAAACTAATTGTATTTTTTCACGATAAACACTTACCGTACTTACGTACCACGTAGTGTGTAGGTCATATTTGAGCTTGTACAGGTACTTTGAACAAATACAAGTGCTTGTAAAGGGTCCAGTAACAAGTAGCCTGCTTTAGAGGTTAAGACAACAAATCGATATATTTCGTTTAGCAACTTACCTGAATAATAATTTCTGTTCATTCCATACGGAGTAACACAAATTGTCGCATTCTCGCTCTGTTAAAACAGGTAAATAGGAATATTACACCCAAAACACGTATAAAATACACCTGAAATCTGTCAAGTTGAATTAGGAAATCGGCCTACCATGCAGTGTTGCCATAATTCTCAGCACGGTTTGTAATTATAGACGGCTGTGCTAGAAGCAGTTAAACATCCCTCTCAAAACGTCAAATGTGACAAACGTCAGACCCTCGGGTAAGGTTGCCAGCTCACTTCTACGTGATTGGTTGTAGGTTTGTGACGTATTTAGTCTGAAGCGTTTCAAATTCGGACTAAAATAGTATATTAAAGTACAAGTGTCATTTGACGAAGATTGTCGCACGAGGTAGTTTGCCGCATAAGCCGCGTAGCGGCGAATGCGGCAAAAGCCGAGTGCGACAAGTAATCAAATGACACGTGTGCTTTATACTATTTTTTCTATTTCGACTTTTAAATAATAAATTATACAAATTATAAATATTGCCTTTAGGCGTTGTTAGGTAATTTTAAACTATCATTCAGTGTATGTTGGTAATAGACAAAGTTCATTTATTTTCACGTTGGCTAACCTGATTCCTGTATTTTCAAACTTCAAACTTTTAATTATTTGGTCATAATTCCATTTTGCGGCAGTTATGAATGTTATGATGATTACGGATGACAAACACGTCTCTTGTACAGTTGTACAATAAATTGTTGTTTGTTTATTTGAAATTTAGTAAAAAATTCCTCTCGTACTTTATTTACACGTTACAGGTTATGTTTAGTTTTGATTTGACGGATACCGATGACGGCAAAAAAGCGAGGGGTACCAATCCAACAAAATGAAAAAAATAATACGTTTCTATTTCTTTCAGTATCATTTCTGTCTAGAAACGCACGCAAACTGGACCAATCAAGTACGGTTTCGGTATTGTTTCCACATCGAAATAGAAAAACAGCTTTTCAATAATTTATTTTGGGTTTATTTTACTCGCAAATAAAAATTGAGGACACACGGGTCTTTTTTATTTTTAATGTACTTTGTGGATCAGAAATAAAAAATGAAGGCGGGATGAGCCCATTGCGAATTAATCCTATTTATTTTTCTAACAATATAGCATTAGAGATTAGGCTATTCATTGGTATCTGTAATAAAATTCTCCCCTTCGGGCTTTGTCCGGCGCCATTAACACCTTCGTATATTACCTAATAATATAATTTAATTTATTTCTTTGCTGGTTTCATTGATTAGAAGTTTATAATGATAAGATTCTTGTGGATACCTACTTCCGTCATTACACCAAGTATTACAGACTGTCACGCAAACCGTTTTACCTACCTAAAAGTATTCAAGCTTTCATTGATCAATTAAATCTGAAAATGTGCATACCAACATAGTTTTTCTTGACATATCGAAAGAAAATATGACCGGTTTCACTTCTTCAAATAAACCGATTTCAACATGACGGAACGCCGCGCCGGCTCATTCTATCCATGATTCTTATATGTCTTTGAAGAACATTTTTGAAGACAGGAGACAGAGGTCCGTGGCGTTGACCTAGAACTTCAGATAAAACGCCAATGGGCTTTTTGTGTGGGATCATATAAAGACAACGTTTACTTATATACCAGTTGCTTTTCGTGCAGAACTATGTAAGTTAGACTGAGAAGAGCTTTTAGTGAAATGGATGTAGTAGACATTATAGAAGCGACTACCAACGGGATTAACCGGAGGATTCTATTATGTATTGAAAAAAACGGTGGCGACGTACAACAAAACCTCAATTGATGTTTTTTTAATTTTATCGCTTGTTATTATTACCTGCTTCTGTTTATTATGTCATCTTTATTTAACTTTTTATTATCTGTCATTATATTATCAACTTAAAGGTCTGACAGGTCTTCTAACGCATTTTTTCCAAGGCATCCTAGGAAAATTATGTATAAGGGCCACAATTTTAGAAAATCTAAAATAAAACGGAAAGCATAACAGATAGGTATACGGAATATAATACTAGATTGATGTAAAAGTTGTTGTTGAGGTTAATAAAGTTGAACATTAGTTTTAAAACACCCTGTAGAAAAGCGATCAAAATTTAAATCATTGTCACGTAGAATCAAGTCAGTACTGTCTATTTTTGAATTTTGAAAAATCTTGAATAACTTGAAAACTTGATGCTGGGTATAGGGAAACATGGTTTCAAACGACGTAGATTTTCATGTAGATTTCGAAAATGTAATAAAATATAGGATGCTCTATTTAAAATAAGAAACTTGCTATCGACATAAGTGAATAAAGCATGAAAATATTTTATAATGATAAGGGGTATTTCAATTTATATTTATTTAGGTACTAATTGCTTTGTTTGTGAATGAATAGGACCTATAGCCTGCAGCGTTTTAGAATCTTCATTAAAAATCATCAATAATTTGTATTGTTAGTTGCCTACACATTTTTCTATCTAGGCGCACGATCGAAATCTCAATTCACTGCAGTCTCCACCTGGCCCGTAAGTACCCGGTCCGCCCCTGCATATATTTGAGATATTATACCATTGAATTTATAACTATCAGAAGCGCGGGTTAAATGGCAGGATATATGACTGTTTTAAATAGTTTAAATTACAAGACGTAGATGTCTCTACCATCGAGAAAGATAAATAATAATGTCAGTTTTTTTCTTTTGTTAATTATTATACAGGAATCTGTAATGAACCCACTACATTGAATTTATAGTTATAAATTCAATGATTATACTACTGTGTGCGTCGCCAATACCATATTACTTACTCGCTCTGTTCGGAACAAACTTCCCCAACATCCTGTCAATACAAATTTTGTCATTTTCATGTAAAATACATATTGCGACCTCTTGCGGCACAGTAATTGCATTATTTTAAGCATTGTAGGCAGTGAAAAAGCATGTCGGAATCTGGTTACTCGTCATATTTTGTAAAGTATGTAAATATACGTTAAATAAACGTAAAAATAGAAAAAAATATGTATTTACTTAAGGATTTGGCACCGCTAACGTATAGACACTCCCTGGAGACACGCATTCTTTAAATACAATGCAGCCACTTTACAAGAATGTTAGGTATTTCAGCAATTTTTAAACAACGTTAGTTTATAGGTATATCAAGGAAATAGTGTCTTGATTTAACTTTGCTGATTTTGCATTTGTGCAGTTCATCTTCATACAGGATCATTGTAAAATGTAGCATCACTTTAGATGAATGCTATAAATTAAAGAAAATGTATAGGTAATATGCGTATGAAAACGAAATACTTTAAGGCAGGCATGTCAAACTCATTTATCATCAAGGGACATTTGCTGCGAGTCACATGATAAAAAAGTTCACATTAATAATACAATAACACGAAAAAATAGAGCCCTTTCTTTTATCTAAAAATATGAATAGGTACCAAATTTGGTTCCCGGAAATGAGAGTACAGACAGACCCACAGTCACACTGATATCGAAATTTTGTTTGATTCGGATTCCTGCTACCTCAAAACGTGTATTTTCGTAAAAAATGGAGGGGGGTCATTTTTTACCCCGATGCAATACCTCCCTTACTAGCGTACGGGTGGTTAAAAGGTAAAATTGCCTGTTTTAGATATTTTTACGTAGAATTATGTAGTAGTGACGTGGTAGGTAGTCAAAAAAAGTTGTCGCGGCCACCGTTTCTGAGATTTGACCCAAACTTGGTATCTTTTATATGCAACACTCTGTATACTTTAACGTACAAATTTTTTTAATTCTTTTTTCTTTATTACATTGATGTATCATCTTATATTTTTTTTTATTATATTATCATTCAAAATTTTAAAATGACATATTTCTACCGTCAGCCATTTTTATTGATTGATATCGGCTGCCTTAGTCGCCATGGATACAATAAACAAGTCAAAATCTCGATGAATCCATGGCCTACTATTTAAAAAGAGTAAAAAATAAGGTTTTTATTGAGTTTAATCGCTCAAATTAAAACAATACAGGTTGTGATACATCAATATAATAGGAAAAAGAGCACACAAAAATTGACGTTAATATATACAGGGTGTTGCATTTAAAAAATACCAACTTCGGGTCAAACCTCAGAAACGGTGGTCTAAAAGTTTCTTTTACTACGCCATTGGATTCTACGTAACAATGTCTAAAATAGGCCGTTTTTACCTTTTTTAATCTTACATCGGTAGTAACATCTGATAACGTCCCAAAAAATCAAACTTTTCGTTTTTTATTTATTTATGTTGCCTTTATTTTTGAGTGGGCTGGTTTTCAGGCGGCTCTACCAACCCAAGCCGTACTATACATTTACAAATATCCATGCACGAACCCGGATTCGAACCAACAACCCTTAGCACCGCAGTCCAGATTTAACTGAACTACGCTACACGAGCCGGCACCCTGTATCTCACGAAACTAGATTGATTCTGTCTGTGGTTTCACAAAAAAACAGCTGAGATACACTGCAGTTTCAACCAAAATAGGACACAAGGTGCAATTAAATTTTATAATTTGCAAACATCGTGACGGGCCGCAGGTTTGAGAACGGAAGATCGCATGCGGCCCGCGTGTTTGATTGACATGCCTGCTTTAAGGGCTTCTGTTATCTACTGAACCATTTTTAGGTTTCAAATATAGGATGGGACCACGTCTAAAGTACCGTGGGCTGGGGACGACGTTAATAAAATGGGAGTGGTTCTCGCTTTATGTCTCACTATTACATTTTAATGTTTCTGACACATCTAATCTTCTTGAGGTACCAATGATAATAAGGTCCATATTTTATATGAAAATGTTTCTCAAATGACAAGGTGCATATGAATATCTTCGATACAGTAAAAGTTGAACCGCATGACCTATGCATATTGTGCAAGTCACTGTTCCAAACGGTCCATACGTTCATACGAACCGAAATTTGACATAAACGTGGCATACAGTTTTCAGTTAAAATAACAGTTTCTTCTACGAGCTTAATTTAATTTACATGTTAAATTTCTTATTATTTTTGTTAAGTCGACAATGCAATCGAAATAGATTTTTTTGCGCGGAGAGTTCCTGCACGTATTGCCACATTTAATTTTCATGTTTCCCATTTAATTATGTAAGAAAGCTGTGCCTAAGGTAATAAACGTAATTTAGAAAAATCGTCCTCATAAATTGAACAGTGACGTTCTGTCACAGCAATCGAAACTCGATCCAATTTCTATCTCAGCCAGTTGCTACTATTACATACTTTAACTCTTAAAGCACGCAGAAACACAGATCGGATATTAGGCAAACAATTTGAAATTATAGCGATCATTTTAAAATGTATCGATGCGTTTTTGGGACGACTATGGGTTAAATGTCTTTAACGTAAAACTTGAATAACGACATACCGCGATGGACGTTTCGCAGGTTCTCATCGTGCTGGTTTTCTTCAGTGCGTGCCAATGTAGTCCTATAGGCGATGATTTGGAAAACCGGGTAGTAAACGCTTTGAGTAGCGTTTTAGGTTTTATTTCCGAAAATGTAGACGAAATGAATCTCGACGGACTGTTTGGAGTTGTTCTCGCGAAAGGTAAGTCTTATGAATAAGATGGAAGTTATGAATCCATTGTAGCGCACCTGTTGAAGCTATGCGCTGCCGAAAAGAAGCACCTTTTATTGTCTAATCAAACATCCGAAATTTTAAGTCAAATTCGCTGGGAGCATAAAAATCTATCTCGCAGTTACACGACGTGTAATTCTCCATCATCCGTTTTCAATTAACCAGTTTTATTGCTGTAACTTTCAGTTAAGAAGTTTCTGTTTGATGTCAAAGTGTGGAAGAAGGACGTGGAGTTTACTCGAGGGATTGTAGGCGCTGTAACGCCTCCGTTTCAAATACATACATGCGATCAGTATTTAGGTATCATATCCAACGCGTGGTTTCCCGAGAAGTTTTCGGACAAATGCCTTACGGAAATAATTAACGGTTCACGAAAGAAACGTAGTCGTTGTTTCCTCGATCGGTCTTGTTTGGAATATGTCACGGCGTCCAAATGCATGCTGGGATATGGGATAACGCACAAGTAAGTTCTTCATATCGCTTACTCAGGCTTACAACTGGCGTGCGATTAGGATATTACTACTCCAAGTTGCCAAAGCGTTGGGATGCAAATGGAACACAAACCCTCCAATTATCAATTACTGTTCTCATATCTTGTGGGAAGTGAGACAAAATGCGAACTGTGGATTTATCGGACAGCTTGATGATCTTTTTCTGGAGCAAGGTCAGTAATCTTCATTGTGCCTTTGTATATATAACGTAGTTGTAGTTCTGCTTTGCGGATCGGAGGGTTTCCTCGAGTTCTTTGAAGTTCGTTGGGTTGAACACGTTCTAAGTCTACAGTCACGGTTTGGATGTTTTGGAATACTAGAAAATGAAGGCGTCGTGGTTAGAAAAAAACGTGAAGCAAACGCCATTAAGTTTGGATGTACGGACCACACGACAGGGTTGGCAGCAGCTGCGCTCAGTTTATTTCTGCGTATTTTGAGATGCTCTGTATAGGTTTGAATAAGACATTTTGATCGCTTGTATGTTACTTCCCAAGATAAAACTTCCGTATGTGTTAGTAGTATCTAACTATCCAATAATATTTTTACTCGTCTAATATTTCAGACTATTACTACAATAGAAAATGTCTACAGAAATCTAGTGCGGTATTTGACAAGTACAATTTATGCCGAATTAGATTTGTTTACGTCTCCGCACATGTTAGTAGCATCTAAATATCCGAAAGACTAAACCTTGAAAAAACACAAAAACAAGACTCTTCCGTTTATAATCGTCGCGCAAACAATGAATGCAAAATTTGCTTTTCGGCCATTGCCTTCATTTCCATCCTCAATTCGGGATACGGGGCCATCGCGATTTGAAAGTCCTTACGACTTAGAAAGTATAATTCGCAGCACTCGATCGCTACAACAGTCACGACTCGCTTTCCTTCCTCTATTAGCAGCGATATTTCGCCAAAGTGTGAACCATCTGTCAAATGGCAAACCTGAAAATATACCCACAGGATGCGTCAAAGTCATAGAAATTGAACAAGTGGCCTACCTCTACGTCATCCGGACTGAAAACGGCAGCAGTGCCTGAAGAAATAAAGTACATGCCGTTACCGGGCGTTCCGGCTTTCACAATTTGGTCCCCGCTTATAAATATTTCCGATTTCATACACTTCACAAGTGACAATAGAAGATTTGTAGGTAAGTTGCGAAAGTATTCAACCTTTTCAATGAAACCCTGGCAGTTCTGTAGTATGATGTCCTGCGAGGTCACGATGTAAATGCTTGTCCGCGGCGCCTGCGGCCTTACCTGCTGGAGATTTTCCGATAAACTTTCCAAAATGTCGTCTTCTTTATAATAGTTGTTTTCAAACTTAAACTTGTAGAACAACAAAATACGTTGCTTCATATTTTCTGGCAGTTGCTTGTAACGGATGAATTCATGTAATTGGTTCATGAAGTGTTCGTATTTATTATTCACACTCAAATTCGTATTTACCATGTGCAGAATTTCCGCTAGTATGATTGAAATTGCAATTAGCTCTCGCATACTTTTTATGTGAACGTGGTAATTCAACATTGAATGATTTCATTTGAATAGGCACAACTAGACCAGGTACTAGCATATTTAGTTGAAGGACCCTGTTGTACGAGGATTGTTCAATAGAAACACGTTTAGAGGCTGTAGAACATTTTTTATTCACCGGTTTTAAAAGAAATCTCCATTAACATTAAGGCATGAATCCCACTGTTGTACTAATAATACTAATCGGTAAATTCCGTGCTGGTAAAATTCTTGCGGCTGTTTGCGGACCATTCCCTAGCCGCAAACTCTACCTCAGCGTCCGATTTGAACCCCCGTCCTTTGAGTGATTGCTTTAATGGGCCAAAAACATGATAATAGCAAAGGGGGAGGTCGGGACTGTAAGGCAAATGTTGTAAGACTTCCCACTTCATACGACTAAACAGTTCTTGACTCGTTTGGGTGGTCTGGGCTACATGGTGTCGGGCACAGCGTTCGACTGGGTCAAGCATAGAGTGACCCGGTGACCCAGTTAGTTTACTGACCCAGCGACCCGGTGACCCAGTTTGACCCTGTGGCCCAGCTTGACCCTGTGACCCAGCTTGACACGGTGACCCAGCTTTACCCGGTGACCCATCTTGACCCGGTGGCCCAGCCAGATTCCTAGGTTGATCCAGTTGAATCCAGTGACCCAGTAATTAAATTATATTTAGGTATCCGGAATATCTTAAGGTTAATTTTTATTCAAATTTATTGCATTAGGTTTGTATTGGTATTTAAATTTTGTCACCCAAAACAATTTCAAGTAACATTTAATTTTAAAAAAAGCTTCCTCAAAATATTCGCCAACAACTAATACCTAAAAAATCAAACGCATTTGTTTATAGGTTTGTAGTCAATGAAAGTATTTAAAGAAAAGAATTGGATCAAGCTAACTAGTAGAAGAAAATTAAATGTGAATGAACACCAGTAAGCAACTGGTAAAGCCTGAAGCAAAGAAATGAAGGAGGGAACTGTTTAGAAATAACATTACTATAATACAATTCGGGACATAGAAAGTTTTTTACGGCAGTATTAAAGCAAACATCACAGAAATGACAGTTGTCAAGCAATCGAGTATTATTTTCAACAAACCAGCATTCAGTTTCATTTATTTCATAATCTGTACACTTGAACCGAGATCACTGACTTAACTGCGTTATTCGATCAAACTAGGTTACTGGGTCAAATTGGGTCCCCGGGTGAAATTGGGTCGCTGAGTCAAACTGGGTCAAACCGGGTCACTGGGTCTAACTGAAGAGAGTATGACGTGACCCAGCGACCCAGTTTAATTCAGTGACCCAGGTGACCCAGTCCAACTCTGGTCGGGCATTATCTGCAGAATTTAGTGGATTCTGTTCCTTGTCGAAATGTATGCAAACTGCAAATAATTTTGACAGACGCTTTACTAGTACTTAAGTAAACAATCTAAACAAATGAGTTCGGTTGCCATGACTACCAGGTCATGACTGCATAGATCAAACGTGTTTCTATTGAACAACCCTCGTATAATCTAATATGGCGGGTGTTGCAAAATTATCACTTACCGTATATAAACATCTTAAATATGACTCCAAACGTTAGAAAGCATAGTACGAAATATATAGTTTTTAATTCATCGTTCCCCGTAAAATAACCATAACTGACGCCGAAAACATTACACAAAGCATGGAAGCAGCTGCGTAGAAAACCCCTGAACTGATCTTTTGATTTGCTGAGAGCGTATAGATAACAAAAGCTAGTTGCCCACAGAACGACGATTAGGAATACAATGGATACCTTAAATAATCTGAACTTGTTGATGCTATACTGTTTGCGCTGTAACAAAGCAGAAGTTAATTTTTAAATTAGCTTGAAATGGTTAACAACCGTATATCCTCAACGGATCCGATGATATAGGTACGTATCACGCTTATAGGGTTAACAAAACTATGCAAACTAGGACCATCTGAGAATATGGAAAAAAGACGCATTTCCCTCAAAATTAACGAAAATTCCCCGTTTTTGCTCCCCAATTTGGTCTTATTGAAACAATCTCTATAAACTTAATACGTGGTTTCATAGATTATGGGGTCCGAACACAAAATATTTCTTACGTGTCTATAGGTGCTCAAATATCTCAATAAAGTCACCAATCTCAGTAACTTCATGCATCTCATTGCACGACCGACAACCACGCGAGTTGGCATAGGGATGTAGTACACAATGAAAATTATTGGAATAGACGATAGTATATCGACCAGGAAATATGTTTTTAAGTAGTGCCTAAAAGTATAGGTAGTTCAAATCAAAAGCGTACAGTGAACATGTAACCTACAGTACCTTACCACTTTTCTCCAGCCCAAGACAATCTTATTGTTTTTTACGTCATGATAACCGCAAACAAAATTTAGACAAAAGTCTAGCAACATGGTGCCACTAATAAGACGCCTAATTGCTATCCAATTCGCATCGAAAGGTATAATCGTCATTTCAAAGGGAGTGAAGGTCAACATAATAAATGACATGATAATCACATAAAATTCCCATGCACTTCTAAAACACACGGTGCCATAGCAGCAAAATTACTGCACTTACCTTGCGGCGCTGAACGGGTGAACTATGTAATAATTTTGTTGCAGGTGTCGTGCCCTTTCCTCGCGAATAGCAGCGCTAGATCGTAAAACAGTTTTACAAAATGCGTTATCCTCGCTTACTGTCAAGAAACGTCTAAATATTCTTCTCGTCTCGACAAAACAACCATTATAAATGTATTTTACTACGATATCTTCAGGAGGTGGCAGAGTACATTTATTATGAACGGGGACATTTTCTGTATCCGAGGTTTCGGAGTTTCTTTTCATCGCAAAGCTGAGTGACTGACGGAGTTTAGAAAAACTGAAACCGGTTAACCAGATCAAGGTCGACCACAAAAAATCAACTAATATTGCCATGGAATCTTGGTCTAAGCATGGAATCGATTGTAACAATTCATAACGTACCTACCAATCCTAATTTGTACACGTCTTTAAATTTTAGCTAATTTCATATTTCCGTATAGGTTAGTAGTATCTAGATAAACAAAACAATCATAGTTTTCCTCTTAGCACTTTTAATTTCGATTATTGGTCACATTTATCCACTTTCAAATCACGAGTCCTAACCACCTAAACTAAAGAAGGGACTTCGGAATATGAAGTTACAACATCGCCGTGAATATGGTCCAAATACACGGAAATAGTATATTGCATAATAAGTGTGTTAAGAAGCCTATTTCGCACGAGTATTTTGCGACACGAGCGAGCGCAGCGAGTGAGTGTTGTAATAAAATCGAGTGCGTAATAGGCATTAGCACTCGAATTATGTACTATACCATGGACCAAATACAATAGACTGAGCACCGGTTTTAATGTGGACCAATACGTATAGATGGAGTTGGACCAACAGAAGTCGCTTACCAGCAACCAGTGGCGCACTGAATTAACGTCAGAAATTTTAAAACTGAATAATTTTATACTACTGAAAACCCGTCATTTGGCAGATTGCGTGGTCAATATTATTATTTTGATTGGTAAATATGATTATTTTGGTTTGTATGCTGTGTAATATCGTCCGATTTTTGAATTATTAATATAGAGTTGTAAAAATTGTGTTCTCTGACCAATTCTTCCAAACGCTCAGAAAAGGAGATTGACGAAAATATATGCGGACTTTTTTAAAGGGCATTAAATTTTCTACAAAAAAGTCAGCGGCAGCTTATGCCGACGACGCGAAGTTTCGTTTGGAAACGACAACCGTTTGAAGATTATACAATCACCTCTCCCGCCTAATTGCATTGCCTACTCCATTCATACGCGATATAAACCTAACACCAGAGGAATTTGCTGATGTTTGCGCCGGTTTTATAGCGACTGCATTTGCTAAAAATATACTTACATTCTTTCGAATTACGAATTTTACATTGAAGATTACGCCATGACGAGGGCCAAAATAGTGATAACGTTTTAGGAATGTAAAATGCTGCACATGCGTTTTTAAGGTACTTCGTTTTCAAAGAAATTTGCATCTACATTATAAATTTATAACCGCAGTTTGAATAACTTTCTTTGCAGAATCTGGCGGCTTCTGAAGGCATACTTGCGAATTATTTTTTTATTATTTTTTCTATAGCATTTAAACAGAATATAAAATAACGCCATGTAAATACCAAAGTCCAATACATAAATTTTTGCCAATAAAGTAAAATTAAATTTCACAATCACTAATAGAGGCTAATACAAACAAATAAATTATTTACACATTTTTGACGATCAACATTTTAGGATGAATTCGACGATGAGGCTGTCGTAACGCTGAACTGAACTGTAATAATTACGTAAAGTTATTAGATTGATCAATAAAAATTTTACGTGCTCCAAACATTGTTGATGTGTTATTACATGCGGGCATTTTCGTTTAATGAAAACCTTTAAAACATATTTTTGGAAAAAAATTGGCAAATTTTTTTTACAACTATACTGGAGCCAGTACTTATCAACAGTTTTCGTTGAAAACAGGGTTCGCAACTGATTTTAGCAAAAAAATAGAGACTTGGTCTCTATTTACATATTTAAAAATAGAGACCATTTCGAGACCTTAAAGAACTAATTTCCATACAAAATTAAGCAAAAAATATTTATTTTGTAATAGATGAGAATGATGAGATACATAAACGGCAATATATCTAAAAAAAAAAGTAACCGTTAAAACGTAACTGCATAGACGTTGCAATTTTAATAACATTTTAAACAACGTAACAACATAAAATGGATACATTCTTAAAATACTTATTACCGCAACGCAAAACACCTTCTCGTCGTTAAATTTTCGACCCCAAGATAATATCTAGCTTCTTCAACCACTCAGTTTGAAATTTACACTTTCCCATTTTGTTTTATTTTATTATAAAAAACCTATTTTTCTAAAACTGTCAAAAAAAACCTGTCATTTTCTGACGAATTTCGAAACGCGAAGTACTAGATTTTTAAACGGTTAATTAATAAGTAAGGTTGCTCTTGACAACGTGCGCGAAACCGTCAACAATGAAAAAAAGTATTTCGCACACATGACAAAGTTGAACTTAAAAGCAATCGGTTCAGTTGTAGAAAAAATATAACGGTAGCTTCTACACTGTGAAATTTGACTCTGCAAAAACATTTCCTGTAGCTGACATGATAAGGCGAGTAACCAACGCTTTTGCATGAACGGAAAACAGCATCACGATTCGCGAAATAAAATTAAAACGCTACTGAGGTCATCGTAATTAATGTGTGCGCCATCTATGCGACCAATGATTCATTACGCCGTGCACAGTCTATTGTATTTGGTCTATGACTATACTTTTTCTACGACTTGAATATAATTGATAAAAGATTGATAGATTACGATTGATTTGGTTCTAAATATTCGAACTTCGAACTAAAAATTAGAACTGTCAAGTGTCAAATGTCATGGTCTATTTAAAAGGAATACAAAATACAACGTAACCTCACTTATATTCCATGAATGCACGCCAGCGAGCAAGAATTTTATAAATACTTTTTACTTAGATTGGAAGTGTATTGCAGGGTTTTTACATCCCTATTCCTTACTGCAATGTGAGTTTCATTTTAGCACCATAGATGCAATAGCCAATAGGATACAAGATACAAGTGTTGAAGTTGAAGATTACTACCTAACTAGCTCAGATGGTGTTTGTGCTCTTTTTCATTACAGTTTTGAACGATTTCTATTGTTGCAGTTGGCAATGTATTAGGTACCTAACTATCGATAATACTAAGGCCTTCAAAACGCTGCGTCTTTTAACGAGTTTTCCCGGGAAGGAAGCATCGGACTACCCAGTATTAAGTGCATTATTCCGTGTTCCATGCAAGTCGTAATTGGCACCATCCATTAATTCTTCGAGTACTTATTGTAGTTTTCTAAAATACAAAATAGTAGCAACAGAGTTTGCTTAATTAGCTAAACGCAGCTTCAAACCATTCTTGAGTAGCCCATTACGATTATGAAAAATAATTGGGCACGGCTAATAAATTACATACAGGCTCCATTCTCATACAAATGGCAATGTTTAAACAAATTATGAGTAATTCTGTTCAAAGAAGTTTACAAAATGTGAAACATAACCTACAACAACAAAATCTGACGTTACTTCATTCATTAGGCAGGGCTGACAACCTACTAAATTAACATTTCGCGTTTGACCTTTAACCTGTTACGTAATATATATATATATATATATAGTAACAGTTCTAATTTTCATTATGCAACCGTATGATATAATGAACGATTTAGACGTGCAGTACAGGGTGACATTTTGGGTATGTTTACAACATAGGAGTAGAAAAACGGATTTAACGCCTGATTCTACGCTAACCTCAGACTACAGGAATACGAAAAAAATCAACCCGCTAACGTTTAAAAATGGCTATTCCTTCTAAAAAGTATTCAGTTCCCGCTTAAATTTAAAATTGAAAAGTGACACAGTGATCGAACATCTAAGGCAAGGCACCATTACGGTAACCAAAATAAGTGAAAATACTGAATCGCAACCCTCATCGCACAAAGGTACTAAACCAAAGAGTTTTTCGTAGCAGAATTCCACCCCTGGAATAGGTAACTCGCCCTTCGTTCGGAGTATCCGAGCCTACAATTAAGATTCGAGATCAGTCCCAGCATTAGGTGTTGTAAGTAATGTGGTTACAGTTATTTAGCACCCTCGTGGCCGCCTCGTGCACAGCAAACAATTTAATAACTTCCACAAATTTAAATGAACGATCTAATATTTATATAAATATTACCTCTGATCATGATCAAAAGATAACCATAAATTGTGCAAACATTTACACCAAAAGTGAAAACCTTTCAAACAATAAAAATTAACGATATTTCCCATACGCTTGATGCATTGAGGTTAAATCATGTCAATTTCAAGAACAAAGGTTGAAAATTATAAACAAATACAAAACGTTGTCTACAGAACACAAATAAATTATAAAGAAATGCAAAGATTACAACGTAACAAAGAGTTATCGTGTTCAAGACGGCGCAGACCGCTCTCCCATTCTAATAAGTCGCGTCATCGTAGGTTGAATATATAGGGTAGAACCTCTCAACAATAACTTGGAACAAATGAAGTTTAAGTAAATGCACATACACAAAGTTGGTTGCGGTTGAGATTAAAAACATGTTTAGGGAACGATGGGCCAGGTAAGCAGGTAACAAACATTCTAGGAAAGGGCGAAGCGCACAGGTTGTGACTCATCTTTGATGCAATAAAATACACTGTGAAAAACTATGGTAAGTTACATGACCTTGGTCATCACATCAAATAAAATATTCCACCCATTGCACTTGTAACTTGGTCCCACGTCCCAAGCCTACAGTAGAGATTGGAGCCTTAGATGTCAGTACTAGCTTGGTTATAGTATTTCTCATGTTCGTTACTAACTTTTCACGGAGAACTACATCATGCGGACGATTTATTGGCTTTCAACACCTTCAGTAATGTCGGGTCACCCTGTATGTCGAATTTCAATATTCTTTTTAAGCGTAAATGTGGTTAATTTGAAATTGGACACAAGATTCGATTGTATCATTTGAATGTGAGGTGAATTGCATTAGATTTAATGATGTGTAACGTTGTTTAAATAATCCCCTTTATTTTATTATGCAAATAGAATTACGTCAAATGTTTTGCTAAAGTTATCTCATTTAAATCCGGTCATTGCAATAAGAAATTGGTTACGGCTGCGCAAGCTATTTAGATTCAAGATAAGTGGGTTTCGCGCATAAGAAAACACAAGTGTTTAATTTATTTGAAGACGCAGTTGGAAGTGGAACAGAAAGGGAAGAATGTTTTAAATAGGAAAAGAGACGCTAATCGTTGCTTTTTTTAGTGGTGGGCGATATTCGTTGATGGTTTTTGGTGGTGGACGTTAATCGTTGCTTTTTTGGTGCTGGAAGCTTTTGGTG